GGAATTTAGTTTCCCTCTTTTTTCCCTTTTCTGTCTCTCTCTTTCTCCCTCTTTGTCTCCATTTGTCTTTTTTTTGTCTGTGTTTATGAAATTGAAAAAAAGGTTAAGCTTTGAAATATTCGTTTATATATATAACAAGAAGTATATTATTTGATTTGATTATATTCATTTGGAATATGTATTTATGTTTAAAAACGGTCAATAAACTACTATTAATTATCAGAGAAAAAGTAGTGATTATCTATTAAATTGATTATTATTTTGATCACAAACTGATCTTAGCTAGACCACTATTTAAAATCTGGAAGCATTGAATGATCGTTTTGTTCTATTATGGGACTACTTTGAAGTGTATATCAAAGACTCCACAACTGGGAATCGAATCCATGTCCTTCGGTCTCAAATACAAACCCTTGACACTTAACTTCGAGATGAAATTCGTGGAGTTCCAGTGACGAGCCCCGACCAGTGAAGCTCAACCATGTTGGATACGAGACAGTTATCTACTCCAAGCAATGGAAGGTGATCACAATTTATCGTGAATTGACTCACGTTAGAAATGTGTACCATTGAATCTGAACTCATTGGTCTAAAGTAAAAGAGCTCTCGAGAAAGACCAAATGTCACGGGTCGGAATCCTGGAAATGGTGTTATGGTTGTGCGTTGCTGAGTGGTTGCAAGAAAGTACGAACCAGCTGTTCAGTGCTACTTGATTTTTCCACTGATGACCTAGCTAAGATCAGTTCATGATTTAATGTATAAAAATTATACATTCTCCACAAATTACATCCCAATACTTAAATTATTTCGGTGATGTTTATGAAAACAAAACGGAATGTTTTGTTTTATGAGTACAGATTTCTATGATTACAGACTAGCATTAGATATTATTATTATTACTGAAAATAAGTGAGAGTATAATGATAAGTGTTTCACTTAAGTATGAGATTTTTAAACAGTACACAAACATTCAACTAGATGAGATCGAATCCAAAAATACAATATTTTATAATGAGAAATGAAACAAAATTCAATGGTTCGATTCCTTATGATACTGTAATCACTAATCATGAAATTAACTTCAAAGTTTATTACATGTGATATGAACTTTATGCTATCCATCACAAAAAACACTTGTTAATGATCATAAATTATGATAATTAAATTGATAAAACCCTAGGATTTCGTTATATTTCCAAAGTATTGTATAACTGATAAAGACAAACCTATAGAAACTAGTATGAAACACCTATCAGATGATTAGTTTCTTTCAGTAAGCTTCTAGATATTACTAATTTCTGTGTAAAGAATTTTAATATATACATATATAAAGGAGTTTTGTGGATATTATAGTAACTGTAATAGTTGAGATCATGATCACCTCAGTGTTCTAGAGGTTAAATGTTCGTGCGTGAGACTAATAGGTCCTAAGTTCGAATCTCGCGAGACGGGATCGTGGATGTGCATTGCTGAGGGATCACACACTAGGACGAAACGGCTGTCCAGTGCTTCCGGGTTTTCCATAATGGTCTAGCTTCAATTGACTCATGATTTCAACTATTAAATTATATGTAAATATTTTTTTAAAAGATGACCAAACACTTAATCAATAATTGTCTGGCTTTAAAAATGAATTAAAACAAATTAGATCTATATATCAAAATCAAAGAATTAATACAGGGTAGTGTTAACGGCTTCCATCATTTATGTGTAAGAATTTAATCACTAAGACTATTATGTGCCTTATTTACAGACAGGTTTATTTTTCAACAGGTGGACTGTTAATTTTAGGACAGTTAGTGAACAACAGTGTATATTATAGATACCGGTAGAAAAATAGTAATAATAATCTTGTCCACCTGTTAGAGAAGTCATATTCAGTAGTCATTTGATTGATTGAACAATTTTCTGATTTAATACAACGAATAGAATGGGAGATAGTAGCAAAAAAACAGATTAATTCTGAATGAACTATGTGATTGATTTAAGTATTACAAACGAGTAACTTATTTTGATATTTGTGAATAGTATTTTGTGACCTTATATCTGACTTTAGTTTGGTTGTATGTTGATTGTTATTGAAATAAACATGTTGCTAATCCTCGTACATGATCATCAATCTAATTCGCGTTGGTGAATAACGTAGTTTAATAAATACGAAGATGAATTTTTGAATACGTATATTTCGTACAATCGTTGATCAGAATCGACGATCAGAGAGATGGAGCGAAGGAAGCGCAGAAGAGAGAGCGAAGAGAAACGGATTAAGAAAGGCATGTTACCAGACTCAATTTAACCAAGTGTTACTCAATATTTATAGTCAGACAAAAAATAAATTACAGAGATATGATGAGTAAGATAAGAAATGCTGACGCATACGCTTACATGAAAGTCAAAGTTGATAAGCCAATAATTAACAAGGTTAAAATGTGACTCAAGAAGAACGAACTAATTAGTTCGTCCGAAAGCTAGAATAAGTTATGTGGTCTTGACATCGCACTTGACACTACAAGTAATAACAGAAAGAAAAAAACAAATGTTGTTACTTAGACACATCACATATGAAAACTACTGATAACCAAGGGAGAAGTAGGAAGCTGTTTCGCTGTAGTATCCTTACTCTACAGCATTACTTACATAGAATTGTATCTTGGATATCTTATGTAATAAGATGAGTGTTGGTGGTCTAGTTTCAATTGACTCATGAACTCAACTATTAAATCATAATATGATCGATATAATTGGTTTATTCAACTTCCAATGTCTTATTATTTATTATTAGTGGCCTTATTCAATATTATATTTTTGGTGCAATATAGAATTCTCAGTACAAATTATTTCAGCGAGTTTCCGTTTCTTATTTCTTGATCAATATTGACCATGATTGATGAGCGATCTCTAGTTAGATGTTAGCATTTCAGAAATCGACATCTGAATAATGTTCATTCTTTTCGATGCATATTACCAGCAATCACGATATATCTAATTGTTCTGTTTTGTAAGTTGTACAAACAACGGTGGTATAAACATGTCCCAAACACACCTGAATAGGTTATGTAATTAATCAACATAATAATGTGTTAAAATAAACAAGGAAACATATTACTTGTTGAAATATCCAGATAAGGGAACAGGTAGTTCAGATATTCAAGCACGTTGCCTTATTATTTATTGGATTAATATAGAGCATCTCAACAAATAGTTGTGTTATAACTAGATGCTTATATTCTTGATATGCCGCGTTTAACTTGAGCACTTGAACTCTAAAACTCCTTCAATGCGCAAATGAGAAGACAGAAGACCAGTGAAATGAGTGCTATTCTAGACAGTGTCGACGACAACCCTAATCAAAAATACACTCATTTATATATTGATTGTACACCCATTTCGATTACTAATTAGGATGAACTCACATATATGAAAAATACTTTGAGTTATAACAAATCACATACTAAGCATAGTTCATGTCAATCGAATACACCAATATCGTATATTATACAGAATAAAATATCATACGAGAAAAGAAAACCGAATACTACACTGAATAATTATTACATTGAATGAGAATGGAAGTAATGTTGAACAAAACTCGTAATTAGTAAATCAATCGAATTTTGACTTTTCTTTCCATCATATCACCTCCCCTTCTTCTTTTTGAAGACTCAAAGTTGAGATTCATCTTTAAATTTTATGACTTTATCCTCCCCCATGAAATAATGTTGGATCCTCATATTCCCAAGTTGCAGTTAGTTTGACTCTATTTAAAACATATTTCCCGCATTGAATAGAGAGTCTACTAGAACTGACTAGATGGTGAGGATCAAGGACACTTGATATGAGGTCATTAAGGTTTGATTCTTCCAAGACATTTTCACCGAATTTCTTGAAAATCTCATTAATAGATAATAGATCACTAAAATAATCAGCATCTATCAAAATTTCATTAGGTTCTTGATTACCATTTGATACATCCGACATATTTTTCTCATCTTTGTAAGCAATTTGATCAAAAGCATATAACTCATATCTGCTAATACAACTAAAGAACCCCGATAAGTACATTCATCAGAAACTTTTGTCATAGAATGATAAGCTTAATTTAATACAACTGTATTCATTATGCTGCTTGATTCATTTTCTGTTTCTTCGTGGGTGAATACAGCAATAATTTCATGAGTATTTAATAAGACGTCGTCTTTCTGTGAGCTGGACAAATCAATGTTTGTATATTGTGTTTCGGGGACAATGGTTCATGTCAATTGAATACACCAATATCGTATATTATACAGAATAAAATATCATACGAGAAAATAAAAACCGAATACTAAATTGAATGAGAATGGAATTAATGTTGAACAAAACTCATAATGAGTAAATCAGTCGAAAATTGACTTTTCTTACCATCTTATCAAGTTGATAAATAGATTTTAGTTGACTAAAGTTAATGTCATCCATGGATTGAAAAAAACTAGGGCAACATTGAACGATAATGTTATTACATAATAGAAAATTTAATGACTGATTACATCATATCAATAATATGTACTTATTTCAATAGTTAAGATCATGAGTCATTTGAAGCTAGACCACCATGGAAAACCTGGAAGAACTGGATGGCTGTTTCGTCCCAATGTGGAACTCCTCAACAGTGCACATCCACGATCCCGTCTCGCGCGCCAGCGCTTAACCACTAGACCACTGAGCCAGCATCCAACGATGTTAATGTCTAACTTCAAATGATCCACGAAATTGAGCGACATTTCCACCATTGTCTTCAGTGAGTTACTATCTCACAAAAGACCAGTTGAACTCCATTAGTCACTTCTTCTCATTAGAACTCCAGGAAATACCTCTTGAAGCCAATCACTAGTCAGTAAATGTTGATTAATATCAGAAAGGGTTTTTGTGGATATTATTAGTAATTTCAATAGTTGAGATCATGAGTCAATTGATCTAAATTAATTATTCAATTAATCATATTCTTTTTAATAATTATACAGATACTATCGATTTGTTACAACTTGTTGAAATTGATAAATTGGATAATTATGAAATTACACGTCAATATGGATTTTGTCCTTCATCATTCATAGAAAATCCAAATACTGCTTATTCATATCATCGAGGAGATAAATTAAAGTTACCATCAGAGAAAGCATTCCCAAGTAAGTGGGTTGTTTATTGTTGTTGTTTTGTTTTTTTTAAAAATTCATTTAACATAATTTTTGATAAATGTATGATTTTACGAAGAGAAATACTTTACATCTCTGTCAGAAATAAAACAAATGTATATGATTTAATGATGAATTATATTTCTTAGTTAAATCTTGAGAAGTCTTCTTCAGTTGTTTCCAGTTCTTAATTATCCTTTTCATGTCTGCTTCCAATTATCGACATAGTCTGTACTTTGGGCTTCCATTTTTTCATTTTCCTCCAGGATTTCAAGTTAGGGTTTGTTTCATGATATATTCTGAGGATTTCCTTAATGTATGTTCTATCTGCTTCCAGCGTCTTTTCCTAATTCCCTCTTCAACTGGAAGCTGGTTTGTTCTCTCCCAGAGTAGGCTGATGCTAATGGTGTCCAGTCAACGGACATTGAGTATCTTGCTTAGACAGTCGTTTATGAATACATGTACCTTATGAATGATGGTTGTAGTTCTCATGGTTTTAGCTTCGCACAGTTAAACTATCGTAATTTTTGTACTGAAAATTTTGAATTTGATGTTGACCGATAGTTGTTTTGATTTCCATATATTTTTCAACTGTGACAATGCTGCACATCTACATCTGATCCTCTTTGTTTATTAATGATGCTGCCCAACTGTATCTGCTAAGTTATATCTAACTTTTATTCGGGAAAGATGATACACTGAGCTGATCAGAAGTTAGCTATTAATAAGTGAATGTAGTTGGTCATGAAATGACTTTAATTTCTAAAAGATTAGACATACGCGATATATATGTAAATCCTCCATCAACTGAACCAATCGTTCCTTCGATTCCATACAAATCACTCTTTGTTCTCGTTCTCTTCTCTTTTATCTTCTTAACTTTCTACCACTAAACACTCCACTTAGATTGGAGAAACATACTACTTATATCAATATCAGTAGCACACACCGCATTTTACTGTTTATTAATATTTAAATATCAATTCATCAGACATGATTGCAGATATATTCATTCAGAATGATTAAAATTGTAGGTTTGATTAAAGAACGTGGTAGGTAAAATTCGTGCTTTAAAACGAAATATGCAGAACTTTGAAAGACTTTAATGAATTCTTTTTTTTATAGTTTTGATGTAGTGATTTTGTAAACTATGTAAATCATATATTGAATGTAACATTTGCATATCTTCTTTTGAATTGTCTTTTACATACTTCATCATTCTTCCGATCATGCTGTTATTCTTCATATTCGTATCTCTTTTCTTTATTTCACTCCTTTGCTGATAATAATCCTGCTTTCAATTCCCACTACTTACTACTTATGTCTGTCTGCACAAGTAGTGCACACCACATACTTACATTTGAATCGTAGAAGATATAATGAGATGTAGTGACTAGGTGAATTATTGAAACATGATGGAAATGAAATGTATAACACTAAATTAATCTTCTGATGATTCACGATACATCAATTTTTTTTAAAAAAATATCTGAATATCCGATCACTGTTTCATATTATTATTATAACCATTGACCAATATGGCATATAACTAAATAAGTATTACTAATTTAAGGAATCACCTTTTATTCTGTTCAAGGTAACATATTCTTAGAAAGTTACTTTTCTCTGTCATTTACTGTTAACTAAAGATTAATTTTGTTACGATTTGCAGTTAGACCTGAAAATTCTAGTCAACATTGTAATTCACATATACAAATACACACAAAAAGAACATAGATCATATTGTTGTATTACTGATATATACGAATATAAGGTGAATCTTTACATGATCAGCAGTACAAAAATGTGTAGTATATTAGAAAGTTTTAATACTGGTCATGAAAATCATATACATAAATTCCCAAAAGGCTTATAATGACTCATCAGAACTTGATGCCAAATCATTGAATACTAAGTTTAATAATATAAGCTGAGTATTACATTATTATTGACATCCAGCTCACGGACTAAGACTTCACCTTCGTAATGTTGGTAAATGATTTTTAGAGAGTAATAATAATACTAGTAGGATTCGAACCGACACTACAAACATTATAATTAAGATATGAATGTCACAAATGACCTATTACAAACAATATAATTTTAAAAACTGATTGATTACTAAGTAATTAAAGGTCTTATGTTATCTAGCTTAGCGACTTAAGTCACTGATACTAGTGATCAAAATGCAAATTAACCCATAGAATTCATCATTTAGGCACCAACAGCTAGACAACACGATATCGGCTACCATTAAGTAAGACTTAACAGATATTTTGAAATTCAGAAATATCTTTAACTATACCAAGGTTTGTTCAATAAAGTTGTTTTATTCCGGTTTATTAATAGTTTTCAATTACAAAATCTGATCTTAAAGATCTGTCGTTGGATTAGATAACGTAAACTTTAAGTTCATTCTAATACCACCAAAAATATTTGTTTGTAATCAAGCCCTTTAAAATTATGTAACAAATCATTAGGCGATGAAAATTAAATTGAAATTCCTCAGCTCATTTGCAAATAATATAGTATTGAGGACATTTATTGTTAACGGGGCTATGTGAAGTAACACGCTTAAATAGATGAAACGAATCAAAAAAAATCCAACACCATTCCAAAGGTCACTAAATTCTGATAACAGTGATATGAAGTACAACTAAAATAATAATGTGACGACTTCCAACTGTGACTTCTGTAGTCATGGAATTGGGTGATTTCACTAAGTTTCAGATCTTTCAAGGCAACTAGCCAAAGTAAATAGCTAATAAGAGGATTACGAATAAAAAAGCAGAGTAAACAGATTTATACAATCCGATCAAAATGTATTAAACATCATCATTGTCTAGAACCTTCTTATAAGAGTTTAGAGTAAATAATCAATAGGATAATCAAACTAACGTACGGAATATTAAGTGTCAGTAGATTTTGTATGAATCGTAAAGAGTGTATATAGAAGTATTAACAACTTACATGTTTCAATAAGATTGTATAAGGGAAATATGGTGAGCCGGTTAGTGGTCGGAGCATATTCAACAATTAAATGGTCTACTCTAAGTGGAAAAATTTAATATATACTAAAGAAATAAATACATCTAATCAACTGAAGTTTTACCCCGTTTTTTCCTGACCATTTTCGTTTCCATTAAGAAAAAAAACCTTAAAATTAATGTTTTTATCATACCGTACCATTTAATTTTTAATATAGCTATATTTCCTCAGGACTTTTCTATTCTTGCTACTGTACGATTGAAGCATGAACAAATTCAAAAGATTTTTGATGTCACAGATGAAAAAGGACAAAGTCAATTAGCTATGTCAGTTGGAAACAACATTGTTTTGCATTATCATTTATCTGAAGATTCACCATCCACAGTGGAATTTTTAAATGTCAAACTGAATGATCTAAGGTAAGTGTGTTTTATTTAATTACTTATATATAATAGTTGAGATCATGAGTCGATTGAAGCTAGATCACCATGAAAAACATGGAAACGATTCCGCCGTGGAATTCGAATCCAGGGTTTATCGGATGCGCATTGCTGAGTAGTACAACAGTATGACGAAATGGTCACCCATTTCTTCCAGGTTTTTCATGGTGGTTTAACTTCAATTGATTCATGAACTCAACTATTAAATTACTATAATATCCACAAAAACCCCTTCTGATTATATACATATGATTTACAATAATGAAGTATTACTCACCGAGTAGATACGTTACGTAATAATCATATGACGACATATCGATTATAAACTAACATTGGGCAATTGGAAGAAAGAGAATTATAATAATCAAAGCAATTATTCAGAAATCAAGCAGCTTTTACGTTGCATAATGTAGGAAAAAGAAGGAACTAACAAAAATATTTTGATTAATGGTCAGCAGTATAGTAGTTATGTAAGAATCAAGAGACGAATGTTGAGGATAAGTAAAACCCAAAAAGTGGAAGAAATCTAAAAACAAATTATCACTGTCCTGCTGCAAACTCCTTTTACAGATGGCCAAAGTAGCGAGAGTGATTGTACAGACTTCTTTTGGATGCAAAGGTATGGATTGTGAACATTTTAGCATGGTAAGCAATCATCCAATCAAATATGTGACACGTGACTCTGAACTTTCAAGATGCTTATGAGAAGCTGCTACTCAACATTGATTGGGTAAAATGTTCCCCAACGTCTTTAGAGCCCCTCCCGGCTTTTTTCGAGGGACATTCGGGGTCTCCTTAACACCCTGTATTTCGTACGATATGTTATGCTTCGTCTGGTTAAGTTTGAAGTAACAGTATTCTTTACCTATTACTTAGTTGTATCAATATGATCTAGTCAATTTCAACAAAGATTTCCAGACGTTTCATCTATTCACCTGTGGTTATTTCTTTTTTACTAAAATAGGTTTTTTTTTCTTGCCTCTCTGTATGTCATATGTAGTATTATTGTACATAATGAAATTAAACATTGGAAAAGTCTTTGAGAAAAACATACTAGTGGATCGGAAATCCACTATACCATTTTTAGCACTGTGATCACTTATGATAGATTATCAATTATCAACTTCTAAGAAATCAAAATACACAAATTCCACATTGAAGTCTGATCACTTAAGGGATTGTCGAATACATAGTCTAAATGTAATTGGCATATTATGAAATTCTATTTGAGTGATTACAAAAGCTTTAAACGAAAAGAACTAGTAAATCGACTCACAAATTTTACATCCTTATTTAGCTACAAAACACCATCGAATTAAACTACCTACCGACAAAAATGTCACTATTCTAGTGATACTATTTAGAAGGGAAAAGACTTTCAGACATTATAAAGAAGTAAATTCAACAGCTGGCTTGACAAATGAGTTCAATATTAAACGTAAGAAAAGTAAACAATTGATAATAGATGATACGAAGAGGTAATCAGAAGTAGAAAAAGGTCAATCAATAGCAATCAAAGGTGACTTAAAGTTCAAGTGTATTTTATTGGGGTGAATGAGTCAATTTCCTAAGAATAGACTTGCATACATATATGAATGAGTATTTCCGCATTTCATTCCATAGTCGAATACACTTTCTCGCTCAATCTTTTGTCCCCGTTCATGCAAACAGTTTGCGGGTGGGGGGGGGTTAGCGCATAGCATACCGTGTATTAGTACCAAATTTTGAACACCGCACGTCACAACAACTGAGTTTTTCAATCGGTTTTCAGGGGGATGATGTTATGTAACTGAACTGGTAGATTGTTACATCCAATTAAACTCTCATTGGATTTCAAGTAGAAAATTTAAATTTGGTTAACTTCATTTCTCTCAACGTCTTTTTTTTCTAGAAGAAATTGAGGTTGGTTTTGTCTATACATGTGCATAAACTATTCATTAATTTTTAAAATAAGGGTATAATCCTTTTTCAAATGAATTAAAGTTAACTGTGTACTTTCAAAAGCCATAAGTGTGACACTTTACAAGTTGTTACTTGTACTGTTGAGGCTTTGTATCACCAACTTGATTTATACACTTCAGGTTTATTTGTGATATGGGTGATGGATAATCCTAAGTGTTGATTAATCAGCGAGATGTGTTATTTTAACGACTTATTTACTCATTGAATAGTAAAGAATATGAAGACTTGAAGTTCACTGTTAGCGTTGGACATGTTCAACCTTACAATTTAGTAACACTGTAAGAATAATCGAATTTGATTATAATCAATCATGATGTCATTTCTCAAACAAAACCTTAAAATAGCTTTTAATTCTTGATTTCACTTTTCGATTTCTAGATGGCATAGAATTGCATTGAGTATTAAAGGTGATTCAGTCACATTAATTATTGACTGTAAAGTTATTACATCAAAATTGTTGAATCGTACATTAACTGAAAACCTGAAATTTAATAAAGGAATGCTATATGTTCTACAAGATAAAGCAGGATCAGTCAGTTTTTCTGTAAGTAGTTTGATTGATTTAAAATGGATTTAGTAATTTTTTCTAGTTAACAGTTTTTAAATAAAATCCCATTTTTTTATTGAGATCATGGATCGATCAGTGTTAGACCATGATTTAAAACCTAGAAGTATTGGATGGCCGTGTCGTCCTAGTATGGTACTTCTTGGCGGTACGAATTCACGATCCCACACGCGGGATTTCAACCGAGGATCATCGGTATCGTACTCGTGAAAAAACATTTCATTTCTCAGTTTCAGTTTCAGTTTGGAAAGGACAGGAGGCTTGATGGCCTGTGTTAGTCCTGGCAATAGTGGTCCCTCAGTTGATCCAACTTTCTTTTGAAAGAGTCGACGGATGGAGCCTCAACCACGTGCTGAAGTAATGGATCCCACTCGTTAATGATTCGATGGGAAAGTCGATAGTCAGCTGACAAGTAATTTGTTCTGGGCTTGTGAACGTTTTAGAGTGTCCTCGTAAATTGAAGGTCTGTAAGGAAAAGATTAGGATAATAAGATGTTCATGTTGATACTAATGTGCATGACAGTACATGATTTACTGACGTTTACTTACCTATTATGTAAGTAATATATGAAAATAACTAACTGCTTGTTAAATCATTGTCTGAAAAATAGTTTTTATTTTAAATAATTTACAAATGTTATTTAGTGAAGACAGTTGTGCTGGAATTCCAAGCAGCCATTTATTGCATAATGAGCATACATCTAATAATGAATAATTTCAAAATGGATCCCCTGGATTTCTAATAATAAGATATAATTTGTAGATTTAAGCAAACTACTCTCAACAAAAGTAATAACAGTGAATAAAATTTCTATAATTCATTTATAGGCATAAAAAGAAAATCTGAAAGGTTCTAGAGGTCTTGAATTTGATCCATCATGGAGTATCTGAGAATTCGACAAAGAGTTTTAACCTAAAGCAAAACAATTATTCAGGGCTCTTTTACTTCAATAAACAATATCTGTTCATAATGAAATAACTTTACTGTAGATAATAACGTTTTACTTTTTCTTAATTATTGTTTTAGGGTGCAATCGAACAATTATTGATTATTCCAACACCAAGTGGAGCATATGATCAATGTACTATTTATTCTCCATGTAGTGAATCAGATAAAACTGGTGATGAGATGCAACTTCAAGAACCAGTAAGTGGGTGAGATAGATTTCTTATGACTTGTGTCTTAGTTGTAAACTTTGTATTTAACATTTAGAAATAGGAAAGAGTTAGATAGAGTAAGTTTCATTGAGTGTTGTAAATGATGTAGATACCTAAATTGAAAGTTTAACAACAAAGTATTAAACTTCTTAAATATAAAACTTCAATATTCCTTTCAGTATTTCATAGCTTTTTTTCTTTCAAGTATACTCATTCAGTTTCATCATACCTTGGAATCTAGTTATTGCACATTTCACAGGTTATATATATATGTACTCAGAACATTAATTTCAAATAATAACAGCATCGATCTATCAGTACAGTTGTACATAGTATCTATGTATCAGTGGTTGTTTTTATAGAGTATTGTGGAAAGTATCATTGTAAATTGGTAGAATTTACAAATACAGTACATTTGTTGATAACTCAGTAGTGTGAAATTTTGGCACTTGTCGTGAAGTCTGAAGGTCCCCAGCTTCATTTATGATAGAGTCGTGTATTAGCACTCCTGAAGAGTCATAACCTAGGATGAAACAACTGTTTAGTGATTTCTAGTTTTGAGTCAGACATCGGTCCAATAAGTAAATTATCAACGAAACAATATCATTTTTCATTCATCTTTGTTTCAATTAAGATCTGGTTACATAACAAAGTAAATAATCTGCTTAATGTAATCTACCCTAATAATCTCACTACTGTCAATCGATAAAATCATAAAAGGTTATGGAACCAGCAAACCACAAACAATTGCTTTGATTGTCCTACATTTCAGTAAGAAAAATATAATGTCATAACATTTGTAAAGGAAGTTTCACTGTGGTATTTATATGAAATTGTTTATACTGAATGAATTCTATATGGTTATCTATAGATAAGCTGTCTCCACCATGGACTTTGTGTCTTTCAGAACTCGATCCCATGTTATGCTGTGAATTCATATTTCTTCAAAATTTCAAATAGAAAAGTAATATTAAATAAATCAATAACGACAGTTTTTACAGAATACAATGAATTCATTGTATTTCAATTCATTCCTTTCAACTATCATGGAAAACAAAAGAAAAGGTGTTTTTCATGTTTTCGATTAAGGTATTTCTAGAAGTACTGGTGAAATTTGTTAACGTATTAGGTATATGCATTGACAAGAAGCCTGGAGTGGAAAATACATAAACTTCCATAGCTTTTTCCCTATAGACTATTAATATGGGTTGGTGAAAACTCTCTACCACAGAGTTATAAAGAAGTATTCACTGGAAAAGTTCAAGAAGGAGTATAATACAGCAAATAAGTGTTTGCAGAAATATGGATGCGTCCAATCCATTATAAACAAATAAATTTATGAATACCGAATTAAGACAGAAGAATGCAAATCAATTGTCATTCAAATGTGGGAAGATAATGGACAAAAATAATAAAAGATTATGAACTGTTTTAGAAAAAAAAACTTTTCTGACCGCTAAGTTGACTCCACTATACACAACGCTATATTCAATAACACAAACAAAAGTAGATAAATATCTGTCACATGTTACCTCAAAATGCATATATCAGTTTGTATGTAAATGCAGAAGACTGTATATTGAAAGGACGAAAAGACGGATTTTTACTCGTTATAATGAGTAAATCACCAAAAAGCCTATGCATATAAGGAGAAAGCTACTTACGTAGTTCAATAGCACGCTACTTACTGAACCCGGGACATAACATGGGTTTAATGAATCCACTCAAATTTATTCATAAACAATCCAATTTCATCTCATTTAAATTCTCAGAAGCCATAGTAATCAAAGGGCGTACACTTAACGTTTTCATTCATGGAGTCAGTAGCTCACCTAAAAATCACTTGGTAGCATTTTGACTAGTCTTGTTCTCAATTCACTATAATCACAAATTAGTGAATTGAATTCGAATGTCATTTCTATACTTAAAAACCTCTTTCGTCACACTACAATAAAACTGTGTCACCATCCAAGAACTTTCAGCTTAAAATATTCCTTCACACTGCTCACAACTTATTCATGTATAGATTAACAATTCACTTTAACATTTTATTAATAATCATAAATATTTCAACGTATTAGCTTATATGTATCTAGTTGAAGGGAAAGCAAAGAAATACAGTGAATTCATTATATTCTGCAAATATTGTCATTATTGATTTGTTTAAATCTATGCAAATGGTCACAGCTTCTCACTAGAACTCCAGGAAATCTATCTTGAAGCTAATCATTAGTGAGGACATGATTATTATCAGTGAAGATTAACATCTTTGGATGCCGGCCCAGTGGCCCATAGATTAGGCGTTCACGCGTGAGATCGGAGGTCCTCGGTTCGAGTTCCGCGTGTGAGATCGCGGATACGAACTGCTGAGGAGTCCCATCCTTGGATGAAACGGTTGCCCAGTGCTCCCAGGTTCCAATTGGTGGTCTAGATTCAACTGACTCGTGAATTCAACTGTTAAAGTTGAGATTCATTATCTTCCCGTTACAAAAAAGATTCTCTTCTTGTGAGTAAAACACTTAAAATGTCATACTTTTTTCCCTAATTGAATTAAATAAATAGTTAAAGTTGACTGAATATCTCAGGTCATTTTCCAAAGTCATAACTATGATCATAAATGGTGGTTACATCATTTTCAGCAGTTTTGGAACTTATGTTTAACATATTTTCTAGTTAGACTTATTATTCAGTTATCGTTCTGTTTTACTTATAACTAAGTAATTTATAAATACTTTCATATAGTTTAGATCATGAACAAATCTTAGCCAAATCATCATTGAGAACTATGAAAAACAACACAGCTTTTCTGTCCTAGTGTGGGATACCTCAGCAATCCTCATCGGTGACCCTACTTCCAGGGTCGAAACAATACTCTTGTAAAATGTTTGAAAAAGAAATCGCCACTAATGAAAACCTTTTCTTTCACTTAAACATTTCCATCATACTTAACTGAAGATTATTAAGCATAATGTAACATTTAACTTTCATTACAATTACTGAATAACCTTCTTTCTTTTAAATACAGTTGAAAATGTATTTAGATTCATTTACGCAATGTAAGTGTAATTATGTATGATGCATGTTTTTCTGCTACCTACACAACTAAAACGTCATAGTCTATCATGACATAATCTACACAATTCAAATATATTTTTGTACCCTTATATTCAATGGTATCTAACAGACTTATTACGTAATTAGACAAAAGGGATTGAATTAAAAGAGTTAACAACTGTTTCCATTAGTTATAACTCATTACACACGCTGAGTTGAATTACATGTTGGTTAAATAGTAGGCTATATGAAATGAGTTTGGATTCTAATTATATTTCAATGACTTGGGAACATATGGAATATCCTAAGCTTATTAATAAATATTAACGAATTAAAAACGTATCATAATAGTTTAAAATATCCTGGAACGTTTGGTTGAATAAAATATATCAGGTACAATATCATGCAATTCTGTTCCTAAATATAATTATGATTACATCATCTATTTCATGGATTATCTCGAGTTATTCATGACTTCAAACCATAGTTAAACCTGTTTGGGAGGAGATTTTCTAAACTTTACATTACATTCACCGAAAAATCTTAGTCAGAATTAGAGATCATATCTTATTAAGGGCTTTATTCAATTTTATATTTCTGGTACAATATTGAATTCTCAGAACAAAGTACTTCAACAAGTTTCTTTTTCTTCATGCTTGGTCGACCCTCAAAATAAATATTGAATGATCACAAGTTAGATGCTAACAATTCAAGAATCGACGTCTAATTAGTGTTCTTTTTTTCAGTGCATATTGACAGCCACCATAATATCACTGATTGAAATTTTTTCTTAGATCTACAGCAAAAGGTTGTGAACTTTTGTAAAACGCGCCTGGATAGTTTATGCGATTAATAGACATAATGTGTTGGAACAAACGAAAACAAATACCTTGTTGAAATATCTAGATGGAGGGAGGGACAAGTAATCAAAATATTCAAGCAGGCCGCCAATATATATGTATATATATATAACAGGATGGACTAAGTTTGAAAACTTAATCATCGGGTTTCATATTTGTACAGTGATACTATGAACAAAGTCGAAGATGGAAAATAATAGAAAATAGTAGCGTTGACTAAATAATTTATATAGTTTAAGAAGAACAATGTTTTTGCGGAATGAATCGAATTCATTATTCTGTTTCATAACTACTTATTAGATTCTTAATATATTTATAAATAAATTCTTTTTTTATTGTTTGCTCGAATCTTCTCATTGATGTTTAGGAATGCAATTGATCAGTCTCTTATAGGCATACGTGGATTCTGTGCATATTGCCTTGTTTCACAAGCATTCTAAGCGAAGATTGATGGTAGCTAGTAGTGGAATCCAGGACGCGCGTTTCGTCTTATTTGGGACTCGTCAGCTGGATGTACTTACATAAATAAATGTTTAATATACTTTAATTTGTAAAGTCTCGATAAAGGTTCAAATATATCCGAACACACCATAATTATGAGAAGAATAGGGACATTAAATATATTATTACACATGGTAAAATGTGTATTTATGTGTTGGAAGGTAGTTATTGTTACCAGCACTTAATATCAAGATAAAGATGGTAATGAGATGGTAATAAAATTAAAAAGTGGTTGCATAATGACCCAACATGATGAATATTAGAAAATGTGTAATTATTTAGTAAAGGTTATTTAATAAATAACCAGTCAACATTGCATAGAAAAGCAAATCGTACCTTCCTACTGTATACACAAGTCAGGTGGAAAGCGTTTGATAACGATTCCCTTTGGAGAAATGGAATATCATTGGTGCTTTTTTTCGGATAATTATTCTAAATGCATTACTGGAAACAACTTCATATCCTTTATCAAAAATTTACCTGGAATCTATTAAGACTAGTCCATTTTTGTCCTTACTCTATTTAAATATATAATTTTCACGAAAATTATTGACTAACAAAGCATAATCAATAGAAATCAGACTGAAATTGAGTTATGAACGAAAAATCAATGCATAAGATGTCACACAACTAAGATGGTGGAGATGATTTGTAGCTCAGGTGGATGATTTTGATAGAGTTTTGTTCTCTGAGCTGAATGATCTGGTTGTGGAGCTTTCATTGTTCTTCTGAACGACATCATCAGAACAAACTTTAGGTAGAAGTCTTCTAACGATGAAAGCTCCACAACCAAACCATCCACCTCAGAAAACAAAACTTCATCAATATTACACAACTGAATACTAAAGAGACTAAGGCCATTTAGTCACTAAGCCAAATTTAATTCATAAATTGTATCATTTTAATTATATAACTACTAATTAGATTTCTTTTTGGTAATAAAAAATAATTATATTGTAAATTGTTACTAACATGGATTTTTAAAAAAAACTCCCTATTGTTTCTCTTTAAAAGTACATCTATGAACAGACTAGAAATTACGTAAGTCAAGATTATTCATATGTATTTATAATATCTAAGAAAATTCATTATTATTAATCGTATATTATTGTGTATAGAATGAACTAACAGAAGGGTTTTTTGTGAATATTATAGTTCTTTTTGGACGTATCGCTCATGAACACTGTTGGATGTCAACTCAGTGATCTAAAGGTTAAGCGTTCACTCACGAGACCACTAGGTCCTGGATTTGAATCTCTTGAGGCTAGATCGTGGATGCGCACTGTTGAGGAGTCCAACAATGGGACGAAACGGCCGTCTAGTGCTTCCAGATTTTCCATAGCGGTCTAGATTCAATTAACTCATCAAATATGAAATAACTTTGAAATACTTCAATTACATGATTTTTGAACATTATAGAAATTCTATGAAACACTTGTCAAAATTACCTTAATGCAGTTATTGGTAACTGTTTAACTATTGTTGGGGTGATCCGGAAAATTGCTTGCAAAAGACAAGCAAGCATAAGGATTCACTAAGAAGCGTTTCGTCCAATCAGCGTTTACTTGAAGCTTTTGCCAAAAATATCAAGGAAGCGGAGCGTCACATGTAGAGGTTCTGATTGGCTGATTGCTACACTGCTACTATGTTTAGTAGCGTTCCAGAATCTTCGAGCAACCCAAGGACATTTAAAAATATTATAAAAACCCTATATTTTCCGTGTCAAAATGAACCTTGGAGTAAACTACTTCTCGCATACTTTGAGTCTTCTCTCTCGTGTTCAGGTCGCTGTTTAGTTCTAGCTTGGGGGTTACAGAATAGCTTAGGAGACGAATATAGCGTTCAGTCAGCAAGACTTATCACTATTTACTTTCTTAATGTATTTGGTCAAATTAATTAATTAATATTCCAATGGAAAACAGGAGGAAAATATAATTTGTTTATTTTAGTGGTTTCAAATGAATTGACTTACTCCTCTTACCGCTTGTGGAAGAGCATGGGCCGCCCACCAACATTCTTCATCCAACTCTGTCCTAGCCAATCCTTTCCAGTTGTTTCTCATTTTTATTCATCATTTTGATATCTGCTTCCAATTCCCAACGTGGTGTGTTCTTTGGCCTTCGTCTTTTCTGTTTTCCTTCAGGATTTCAATTTAGCGATTTCAAATGGAACTTTAATAAGTTTAGAAAATACGTACAAAGGACTCACTGCATATTTACACTGATTGTGATAAAGAATTATTCTATAATAACGGAACAGACCCACAGTGTCCTTGAAGATGAAGAAAAACAACTCAGAGAAAAAAATTCTTTCCGACGATTTTATTTAATTAAGCTGTACAATAGTATCTACAGTTAATTTTATTTATTAAAATAGTCCATAGTGCAATAGAATGTGTACAAAACCAGTATGTTCAGTCCCTCATTCTTCCATGATCTTTCATAATCTGCACCGCTTTCTCATTTTTAGACTTTATTATTTCCAATTATTTTCACAACTAATAATTGGCAATTGTTACAGCATTTAATCATTCTATTAGTTGAATTCATAAGTCAATGTAAACTATACCACCATTGGAAACTTGGAAGCACTGGACGGTCGTTCCAACGGTGGTCTAGCTTACATCGACTCATAAATTCAACTAGTAAAATTACTGATTGATTGACTTTAATATAATTATTTTGTTTAGGGTCAGCCAGGTGAAAAAGGTGAAGTTGGTCCAAAAGGTGAAAAAGGTCAACCTGTAAGTTTACTTCCCCTTCACCCTGATAGGTCATTTTTATTCGAGAATTCTTTTCGCCTACATTTACATAATTTTTAGTTTATTTGGGATTGTAATTATTTTTCTAAAGTACAAAGTGTAAAACTTGTCATTTCAAAAGAAACGTTCTGTATTTTGTTTGACTGAACGCTTTGCAAAATGTATTTTTGCTTTTTATACCGATTAACCGTCAATTCTTACTTCCTAGATTTTGAAAAATAGTAAGATGTTGCCCTTTTCAATTCTTGCATTTTACTGTTACCGCCATGTAACGACAGCACTCCAACCTTCATACACCCTTTAGCATCATATCATAATAAAGGACATGAGAATTATTGATAAGAGAGCTTTCCTACTTCTCGAAGTCAAAACTATGATACATCAATGAACCTGGGAATATGTACTAAGACGAAAAACAACAAGAAAACAACCAATCAAAAGATAGCAACGTTTAGGGTGGTAATATGAAATAAAAATTTTCCAGGACTTGTTTACCCTTCAGAATAATAATTCAGTAGCAAAAGAAGGAAACTAGATAATTTGGGATATGATTAATACCAACTTGTAACACATGAAACACTTCGAAGATAATGTTTACTGTTTTATAATAGAACGACTTACTAAATTTGTTTACTCATCTACAATTTCTGCTATCTATAATAACTCAAGATAAAAAAGGTTTTGCTCAGCGCTGTGTAAGTTCACATTGTTACAACTCTTTTTCGGATAATCATATCCTAGTAGCGATTGTTGAGTGAATCATCAATTGGTAATTATTTACCTACTATATATTGTTATAAGTAGTTAATCAAAATCAATTTAAATGTGTAGAAAAACAATCCGAAATCCAATCCATCGGTTCGTGTATATGTTATTGCGTAAATTAGCTTTTATGACATTCAGTCGTTCAATGTGTAGTATTATCCATAAATAATGGTTAGATTATTTATCCTGGTTTCTTGAAGAGGCATCGCTTTTTAGACTTCCGAAAACCTTCAATTCTTTCGATGAGGCGTCATATCTCTTCTAAATAAGGACCCTTCAACTCCTGGGCCAGAGTTTGAATGATTTAAGTGATTCCTTCTGTCAGCGTTTTCCAAAACGTTTGTTTTTAACTTGGTGGGATTGTTAATCACATGCCCAACTCTCTTCCTTTTTCCAAACTTAGGACCCACAGTAATCCTAGAAAATCTCTAGAGGAGTTACTAATGTCTATGTAAATAAATCTTCATTGAATGAAACATTTTAAATCAATGTTTCTACTATATCTAAAACTATTATTCTATTCATTACACGTTCTGTTTATAGGGACGAGATGGTCGTAATGGAATCCCTGGAGCTCCTGGTTTACCGGGTGTACCAAGTCATATATTAATGATGCCGCTACCAAGTTTTGGAAAGAATGAATTAAGTCGTATGGCCAGTTTTAGAACAACAGTACAACAAGCTGTCGTAGGTTTTGATTTGTCATTTTAAAACTTAAGACTTTTCTTTTGCTAAATGATATAGTCAATAGTCTTGAGATACGTCAAGCAAATCTTGTCTCAAACTAAGACACTTTAAATGTCATTAAATAAGAACCTTTATTTAATACACTATTTTGTCACTTTATATACAGTAAAAATCGAGTAACTGTGATTACCGGGCAGAATGTTGTCATGATTTTCGGGATTTACTCTCATCAGCTAGCTTTTTTAAAACAACTATAAATTATCAGTATGGAGGTTTTATGTAGATTGTAGACCTCCCATAATTCACAGTACGAAACGACCTTAGCTAGATCATTATTAGAAACTAAGAGGCATTATATGGCTGTTTTGTCCTAGTATGAAACCAGGAAACATTGACCAGAGAGAAGGTAACTGGTTTGATCCCTAATATTGGGGCTATGGGTGTGTGCTGCTGAAGAGTCGCATACTAGAGCAAAACACCTGTTCACTGCTTCATGGTCTTCAATAATTGTTTAGCTGAGACTAGTCTTGGATTTAATCTGTGACATAGGTGATTTAATTATGTTTGCTAGAGTAAGTCTATGATAAATAATTCATTCAGTCAGTCAGTCAGTCAGTTACAACGTAGGATCAGGCACAAATATGCATCGGTCCAAGTCGCCATACCTCATTAACACAACAAGATAGACACCGGATTCATAAAAGTAGTTAATTCAGAGGTGGTAATATATAAAAGAAAGATTGCATATAAGGACATAGTACAGGAAGAAAGAATTGGTTCGTAGAAAGTAAGGTATGAAGCGATTTTAATCTCTTAGTTTAAGGGAAGACAGGGAGTGTATACACCGACGCCATTGTGATCGATTCTGAGCCATGCCACCAAGAGTCTCCAACCATTGGTTACGATAGTCCCGCGGACCCCAACCAAGTAGTTCGCATCTACCAACATGGCCCAGACTAGAAGTTAGTGACTTCAAGCACAGATAAATAATTCACATTCTCTTGATAAGCTATTAGATAGTGGTACTGTAAATTTAGAAACAATTAAATTAATAATTTATCAACCTCCTACTATGGCACTTCCTACTAAGGAATTCGCCAAATACAAACAACTCAAGATCAAGAAAAAGAACAAACAATATTTGATGAATAACCGATGTGAACAATTGGGATAAAGGAAATAATATATTCAGAGAGAATGAATCTTCATATTTGGGACACAATGGATTGAATGAATATAAGTGTAAATCCCCGTCATTTTCAGGGTTGTTCGTTAGTGATCAATGTAAGCAGTTAACATAGTATGTCAAATACAGGCATTCAAACATTAATTACAAGATTGATACTGATATATATATCACTAAACGATAAGCTTATTTCCTATTATAGAACTGTGTTTACATTGTCGGAAAAATGCTTCTTGATATGATTTCAATAAATGATCCGTTATAATAATTGGGATCTATGAATGTAACCTTAAAAACAGTGATATAGACAGGTAATAATAATAATAAAATAATAAAAATATCCGTAAATGAATTATTGTTGAGGTTACATAAAACATACACTATGGGTACTTCGTGAATCATTTTTATCCATATCTTTCACTCTGTTTTTCATTTCATAGATGATGCTAAAAGGAAGTCGAGGTCAGCAAGGTATGACTGGTCTCCCAGGAATACAAGGTCCACCTGGACCAAGAGGTCCGAAAGGAGATCAAGGTCTTTTTGGAGAACCTGGTTTTATAGGTCCAACAGGTTTAAGAGGTCCTCCAGGTCCTGTAGGTCCTCGTGTAAGTTGATTACTCAATAAATTAAACGTCATGTTAAATTTTTAATGATTCATATGTTTTCTTAGCTCTATGGCACCTTCTTTATATTCATTCGCATAAGTTTTCATATAGGGAACTATATAATAACTAGGGTGATGTAGTAGACGTAAGGTGGTGTTTGAATATGATCGATAAGGAACTCTGAATCCAGGTTTCGTTATATCAAGCGCTCATGAGGGATTTGATCTGGAATCGCCTTAACTCTTATTAATAGTGAAATAATACATGATCGACATCAGTTATTCAATTTCCAATTTACAAAAAAACAGTTATCATGATAACATTTGTTTATGGTCATTAAGGAATAGTTTTTGATTATTCTAGTGAGTTCGAAACATCATATGATTACATCATTTAACATGATATTTATTTTTTCTAGAAGAATCAAAACTTATGTCTCCAAATTTATTTCAAGATGTTAGAAGTGTGTTAGTGAAATAAATGAAATAAAAAACTTGTACACTGTTGAGCTTCAAATCAGTAATCTAGGAGTTAAGCGTTTGTCTACGAGACCGGAAGTCCTAGATTTGATTCCTAGTTGCAGGCTTACAAATGTATACTGCGGATGAGCTCAATATTAGAATGAAATGGGCGTTCACTGCGTCCTGGTTTTCGATTGTTGCTTGACTTGAATTAGTTCGTAATCTCAATAAAAAGATTACGTTAAATAATATGGAACACCAGATTCTGACCCATTGGTTCAAATTCGCTTTCCATTAAGTCCGAAGGCTCTGAACTCAGTCATATGAAGGATCTGTTGTATGTAAAACACGTATACAGGAAGTTAACGAATTCGGAACTATTTTATGGACTATTACCGTTTATATTTTTATCATGTTATTAGATAATAGAATTACTGCATTTTTATATTCCTCGTATTGTGAGCTTCCGTTGGGCTTATAGACTATATATAAGCAGTTTATTATCGACCAATTATTTATAATACATGTGTACCATTTTCTCCGTTCTCTAAAACACATAACTTCATTATTCGTATTATTATTTCTTACTTGAGGTGCACTGCGGATTACCCCAATATAGCCACACGATGTGCAGAATAAAAGGATTAAACTTATCACCCACAAAATATTAGTTTGTTAATTGAATATGATCTTTCTAAATAAATTGTGCTGACTTTTGTGTTACGCTGTTATCAATCACTGAAAATCGTTTTTCTTTTTCGTTTGAACAGGGTAGACCAGGTGTTGACGGTGAAATAGGAGCAAGTGGGTTAGCAGGTCCTAAAGGATTACCTGGTCTTTCTGGATTGCCGGGTTTACCTGGCCATAGAGGTCATAAAGGGGAAATTGGACCAAATGGTATTAAGGGAGATGTTGGACTACGAGGTGCACCTGGTCCTTACGGACGAGACGGTGAAGTAGGTCCTCCTGGAGAACCTGGCGCAGTTGGACTTCAGGTGAGTAGTTCAATGGGGAATTTTTCCTTCTATATAAATAAAAAACTTCGAGAGATCATGGCTTTTAAAACAGACATGTTTATGTACATAATTGTCTGCTCGCTTTGGAATGCGATATCTGAACATGTGACTGTCAAATGCATTAGTTAACTTGCTCTCAATTATGTGATCAGTTCGAATGCTTGTACGTGAATCTTCTAATATCCTTTTGTCTGGTCGCCTGTCTATCTATTTATGTGTTAATTATATTCCATTACAATAATCAAGTATAAAGAAATGAGACACTTTGGACAATTTGAATTCATTTCAATACAGTGCAGACTGTATCAGCCTAGTGCAGTTTTGGGTTTATTTCATTACAATACAATTATTGGATATTCTATCGCCGTTGTTAGTTTTATCTTAATTTAATTTTTCGTGATTCTAATTGCCAGTGTCAATAGAAACCCAACTTGATTACAAAGAGGTTTAATTCTGGTATTACTCCAATACTACTAATATTTCAGTTCAGTTGTCCACTCAGTTCTATGATACTTTGGTTGTTTATCCCTAGTGTATGTGCTAGTTGATTCAAATATCTGAATATAAATTCAGGAACATTTATATTCTGGTTCTTACTTAATTTATATATCCCAGATTATCGAGTATAAGGATAATGAATCTAACAGAGATTTCAAAGGAATCCCAATTTCTAGGCTTGAATGGACTCTGTAGTTAAGTTTATAGAAGCTTTATTTTAATTTTCTTACTTTCCTCTCATCTTAATAGTGCTTTTAAAATGATGAGGAATTCAATAACCGGAAGGATTTCTGTATGCTTTACATAATAACTTCAGTTTTAAACAGTAAGGCTTATGGAATACTAATAATTTTCGTTAGAAGTCTAAAAATTGGAATCATTCATCAGAGAGTATATGAAGAGTTTTCTCAACACTAATAACAATTATTTCTACTGTTGTTTCTTATATGTTTTACGGCAACTATACAGTCGACAAATTTAATATTGGGACGACCTGATCTAACTCGTGACTTCACAAATTAATGCACAACTACCGAAAATATTTATGATACGTTGATCGGCTGTATAGCAAGTAGAATTATCAAAGTCCTAACTGACATTACAGGATGACCTCTTAGTCTACAAAAAGGATGCTCAGTTTACTTTGGTAAACTATTTGGTCGTGATAAGCTAAATGAACAGTTTTTCAAGTTATTGCGAAACTGTTTCCTTTATTCAACAATCAAGGCTTATCTGATTGCTATTGTCTTCATATATTTTGAGTTTTAAGTGGAGGCTTGACATATCATTCCAGTTCATAATCCTTTTTGTAACTTGAGGCAGTTATCTTTGTTCGAAATAGTCCTGCTAAATGGTATAGGCTGATTTAAACGGACACGTTTTTTATGTATTCATTAATTAGGGCCCTATGGGACCAGTTGGACCAGCTGGATTACGTGGATTACCTGGAAGGATTGGACCAAATGGACTCAAAGGTGAATTTGGAGACTCAGGTGAAATGGGCCCACCTGGCCCACAAGGCCCTGTTGGTCCACCAGGGGTACCCGGACCCCAAGGTATACGTGGACTAACTGGAAAGCCCGGAGCAAGAGGGCCACCTGGTGTGACTGGACTACCAGGTAGCCCTGGAATGACTGGAAATCCTGGACCACAGGTACAAATGTTTTTGATAACAATACGAGCCCATGGTTTTTAACTTTTGCTAAATAAAGTTTATTTAATACTTAATTCGTATTTAATTTCACATATATATTTCTCTATATTAAAATGAATGACAAAAAAATAGTGGAAGAATATTTAAGATAAAAGAACTTTTGGTGTCCATTCTGAACAATAAAACAAATATCCTACTTCACATATATTCTGTCGACTAACCACGTTTATACAACGTTAAATAAAAAGTAGAATATGAGTTATATTTAGGACATGTATATTTTAAATATCCATGTGGGCAGACAAACCGGCCGAATGAATACAGAATTGAATAGATCCAGACAGGAGAGGCTGTTAAAGCCTTCACAATAAACAGTCAATTACTTAATCATTATATGAGATGAATTACAGAAAATCAATTAAAATATAAATGATAGATACATATAATGTGATCATATAAAACTGTTCAAATTTAATAGTGCATAATTAACAGGGCCATATATAGGTGAATGGAGATAGACATGTATGCACACAATATAATCAATCACGCTACCATTAAACATTCATAGATCAGAAAAAGGTCACCGAACAGTGTTTCAGTCTGTCAGATTAACTTAAGATACAATAGCAAATTTGATTAAGTGATCCCGATTAATGTATAAATGAATCGGTACAAAGCTCTTAACATTAAGTATATTAACACAAATCTAAGTAGTCCCTAGATAATCAAGAAAATGATGAAAATCCTTTCGAATAATCATCTGGAATGTGACCTCGGGAAAGTGCTAACAGGACAAAGATATATAATTTTTATCTAAAGTCAAACGAGGTCACATCAAAACTAAACTATACTGAAGGCCATGAGAGGCTCTGGGAGAAACTTTGAGATTAACCTAGCGAATATTAGCCAATAAAAATTTAGGTTTTGTGAATAAATTGTGCACTACGAAAAGCCAGTAGATTCAGACAATTTTCTTCCTATTTAAGCTTCATCAGTTCGTTGTACTCAGATCCTAGAACTGATGTTCACTCTGAAATTCGAATTCAGTACCATTTGCTTCAAATGCGCAAAAGCATTAAGTTCAGATATCCTCTTATTTGTGCAACCTGTTACATGAATTTGTAGATATTTACCAATTCGTACTAAGTAAATCAAACGAATAATAAATATGTTGGAAGAATTCATATTATCAGTATAGCTTAATAAACCCCTGTCTTAAAAAATAGTAATTGAACAATCTTTAAAACTCAAGGATATCTGTTCATTGAAATAAACCATAAAGTAGCAGTAGAATATGCTTATTCATATCATTCGATTGTGTGGACAGATTTAATTAGTTTGATGTTTATTTCTTCTATAACATCATTATATTACAATAAACTGTCTTTTTTTAAAGGGAAATGCGGGTCCTAAAGGAGAACCAGGATTAACTGGAGAACCTGGGGATACTGGTCCCGTTGGAGCCTCAGGCTATAAAGGTGACCGTGGACCTCGTGGTTTACCTGGAGCTAAAGGAACTCAAGGAGCAGCTGGTTTAACTGGTGTTCGTGGAGATAGAGGCGAAAAAGGTTCAAAAGGTGAACGTGGTCTTCCTGGACCACGAGGTAGTGAAGGTCCTGTTGGATTAAAAGGTGAACCTGGTATAGTAGGTGAACTTGGTCCTCGTGGATTGGAAGGTCAGAAAGTAAGCGATAAGTGTTTACTGTAAAGGTCATTTTAAGAATTCAACCTCGTAGAATAAACAGAAAATTTCCGTCACATTTATTATGTTTTTATTCACATACTTTTCATGAAATGAGATCATCAAATTACAGGAATTTATCAATATCTGATGAGCATCGATAATCATTTTCTGAATGTTTATAATGATTTACAGAATTTATTTCACTAATTTTCTTATTAGCTGTACAAAATTTAAAATACAATTACTGACGGATTTGTTAAAAAAACTAACTGATATTCTGTATTTCTTATGTTACTAGGGAAACGAAGGTCCTCGGGGAAGTCCAGGATATCCTGGGGGTCCAGGTCCTAAAGGTTCCGTTGGGCCAGCAGGTGGTATTGGAAGTCCGGGTGAAAAAGGCGACCCAGGTCATATGGGACCATTAGGTTTGAGTGGACCTGTTGGACCACGTGGAGCACCTGGTCCGCGTGGGGCCCCGGGACAGTCAGGACCAGTCGGATTCAAAGGTGAAGAAGGACCAACAGGACCAACTGGTCCTCCTGGGGCTGCTGGACCTCAAGGTCCAAGGGGTTCCCCCGGATTCGTAGGAGTTCCGGGTCCTCCGGTAAGTATACATTTTTCAGTGAAATGTAAAATAGTTAATTTAAAATGAATTGAATAACAGATTTAAACAATTAAATCTTCATATTAAAAATATATATGTAATTCTATCTTCACTTTCAAAAGAAATTAAATGTTTTATGAAATTACAAATAATTATGTCACTTTTACTAATCAAATTAAATATAGACCTTAATCGAATGAATGAAAGTTTTTCTTGCAAAAACTATATCAGAGATTTACATAATATGAATTTTATTCGTAATCCATTTATGCTTTTGTGTTTTTTTGCAACGAAGGGTTTACCCGGTCGACCGGGACCTGTCGGACTTTTAGGAGATCGAGGTGAACCTGGTGAACCGGGAATACCTGGTGAAATCGGGCCAGTAGGTATGGTTGGTGTTCCTGGTCAAATTGGAGAGCAGGGGGCACCAGGTGAACGTGGTCCTCCAGGACCACGTGGACCTCAAGGGGTTGCAGGTAAACCTGGGGTAGAGGGGATTGAAGGAGTACAGGTGAGTTACAGCTTTATTTAAATTGTATTGTTTTTATATTCTATAAACAACTTTTGAATTTGCTTATAAATTGTAATAATTGATCATCTGATCATAAGCAATGATTCACCATTGTGCATAGACTGAAGATCATCGATCACATTCAACACTTCTTTTTCAAAGAGTGAAAATCTTATAAGTTTTCTGTTTGATCAAATGACAGTGTGAGAATAAATATGGGTTGATTAATTGGAAAGTAGGTGATAATGATTATTCTGACATTAAACTCAATATCTTTTCTGCATAGTTTCTACAGAGTACTTAAGAAAATATCTTACTACTTTTTGATTTATTTGAAGCAGTAAAATATACCTTGAAGTAGCCTACTTATCGCGGTACCGGGAGGTCCTAGGTTCGATTTCTGTCGAGATGACGTATGCTCACTGCTAAAGAACGAAATGGTTATCCAATATTTCTCAGTTCTCAAAGATATCTTCAAAAATGACAAATTATTTTGTTTTACTCAAAAGATTTTTTGTTTTGCTGGAAAGACAGCTCCTAAAAGAATAAATCTTATTCCATATATTCATGATTGTTTATTTGGAAATCTGATAAACACTACCCATTTAAGTATTTCAATCTTTTAGTGGCTTCTAGATAATTAGTAGAACAACTTCGTTGATCATGGTTACTCTATTGTTTCGTAATACTTCAGCTTAGTCTTTATAGACGTGAATCGGCTGAAATTACCTGTGATTTATTTCTTATCCACATTTGCCATAGGTAAATAAGACGTAGTAAAAGACCTACAAATGTATTGTTTCTTGTAATTTAACAAATTTTTCATTGCATTGCAGGGTGAAAAGGGAACCAAGGGTGCTGCTGGTCCACCTGGACCGAGCGGCCCAGTTGGATTACGAGGAACACGTGGACCACCAGGTCCATCGGGCGACCCTGGGTCGAAGGGAGATGAAGGTCGCATCGGCCCTCAAGGAAGCCTCGGTGACAAGGGTGACAGGGGTCCACCTGGACCTCACGGACCACCTGGTCCCATAGGACCAGTTGGACCACAGGGATTGCCAGGAAGTCAAGGTGAACCTGGGTACGTAGACTGATAATTTTAGTCACTAGAACTTGGAACTTAAATTAATTTCTTTTTGGCAGTAAGCTTAATTCTTTGTATTACTTTCTTGGACTGGAATTAGTGACAAGGGTGCACGTGGTCCTCCCGGCCCAATCGGTGAAACAGGCGAAAAAGGTGTACAGGGATTAATTGGCAAGCCAGGCTTACGAGGACCGACAGGAGCCGATGGGGAGCAAGGTGACCAAGGGAGTCCAGGACCACAAGGTACCAAGGGAGACAGAGGAGAAGCGGTAAGCATTAACAGTAAAATAATCATTAGCACCTTTTTCTATTATCGTTTGTAATAAATGCTAAGCAAAAGTCATCTTCTTCACCTGCCTTCTTCCACACTTTTCCCTCTCAGGGTGAACAAGGTTCTGCTGGACAACAAGGAGCAGCTGGATCTCCAGGTCCTCAGGGTATGGTTGGGGAACCAGGAGAGATCGGAATAGCTGGAGTTGCAGGGATAAAAGGTGTAGAAGGCAAAGTTGGACCACCAGGGGCACCTGGACCTGCTGGTGTACAGGTAAGCTTTTAAATTTGGATAACGTCTCTCTGTATAGTTCCTACATTGTTTTTAGACAATGTCCTTTCCTTGACATACTATTATTGTACATAGAACCAAAATAGCAGCTCTATGAAATTATTTATAAAGCATTTTACAGTCTGACAAACAGCCCCAAAATAACCAGAGTTTCATCCATGTGAATGAACTTCCCTACTGAGTAAATTTTGATTTTAAGGTTGATAAAAGTGATAATTAACGTTTGTGTGGCAATTAAACTATGTTAGTACAATGTACACATTAAAAGATTATCACGTTTTTATGGCTGGATTCATCGTTTGATTTTTGTATCATTCAACTGTGCCTGGAAGTCATTTAATGAGTCATTCTATTTCACTAATTGTAGTACAGTAGCATCAAAAGTGTACTAAAACATTAATTAATAATTAATCTTTAATTAATCTTTATCGAAATTATAAGCAGATGCCACATACAAATGAATAAGTTCTATATGAAATCAATAAAAGGAAACTTTCTTCTAATTACTTTTCTACCTCCCGTAATAAATTTCAGGGCTCACCTGGTCGAAGTGGTCCACGTGGGGAACCAGGTATTAAAGGAGTGATCGGTGCAGAAGGGCCACCCGGACTTCCTGGACCTGTTGGTTTGGCTGGAGCTCCAGGAAAAATGGGAATACCTGGCGTACCTGGTCCTCCAGGATCACCTGGACTAAAAGGAGAACAAGGAAAGCCAGGTGCACGTGGTGAACAGGGGGCTCAAGGTACTACTGGACCACCTGGACCAAAAGGGATGAAAGGGATGCTCGGGAGACCTGGACGACAAGGTCAGCCTGGATCTGCGGGACCACCAGGAATAGTTGGAGAGCCAGGTGTTCAGGTAAACATTAGATTTTCATAAACTGTACTTGAAAATTATCCATTTAATTTATGAAAAAAGACGTCTTTAATTGCTTTGTTTATATCTTTATCGATAAACAAAAAGTTACTAAACTAGTCAACTACGTTTAACACAACTTTCAAATGTACATTCTATTACATCCCAGGGTGCACAAGGGCCAATGGGCCCAATCGGTGCTCCAGGATTGCCAGGCGAGCCTGGTGCAGCAGGTCCACCTGGAAAAGATGGACTCAGAGGAGCTGTCGGTTTAGAAGGACTATTTGGTGATGATGGCCCCCCAGGACCACCTGGACCTGTGGGCGTCCCTGGTGTTCAGGGTCCTCCTGGAACAGCTGGTGAGACTGGTCCTACCGGAGACCCGGGAGATCGAGGTGCTGCTGGATCAGTGGGATTGCCTGGTGAACGTGGACCTCCTGGAATCATGGGAGCTGAAGGACAAGTCGGTCCTCAAGGGCCAGAAGGAGAGCAGGTAAGTCAGTTTTTCTATATCCACAAGCTATTTAAACTTAATCTCATCTAGTGTCTAAATATATTGACTGTTTTGTAACTTTCAGGGTCTTCAAGGGCCACCAGGAGAAACTGGACCGAAAGGGAACACAGGTAAAACGGTAAGTAACCGTTTTACCATTGAAAAATTGGATCGATCGCTTCTTAGCACATTAGTGTGACAGTCTTTTTTTTCTCAATCTCAACAAAGGGTTCACCAGGTCCAAATGGTCCAAAGGGAGAGTCTGGCCCGAAAGGAGTAAGTGGTAATCCTGGAACAGTTGGACCGCCGGGACCTAAAGGAGAACAAGGTAGTATAGGAGACCCTGGACCGACTGGAAAACAGGGTGAAATGGGTGATCATGGAGATCAGGGACCACCTGGTCCTAGAGGGCCTAATGGTGATGAAGGAGAATCTGGGCCTCCAGGACCGACAGGCCCTCCTGGTCCACCTGGTCTACAAGGCAAGTTTTATTTTGATACTTCACTTATTAATTGATTTCAAAATTGACCACATCAATTCCAGTAACCGAGAGAACGCAATGATGAATTCCTAAAATGGTGACTAAAATCATTTCTTAAATCTCTCTTTAAGATTTATTTGAAGTTGATGATGAACAATAAATTAGTATTCGACACACCTGACCACTATTGTACAAGACATTAAGACTGGTTTTAATCCTATAAATGAATAGTTTTAACGTGATGCTCCTGATCATAGATTTTTAATTAACTAGTCACTAATCTACAGAATGTCTACAGCTTCATTAAAATTGCTCTGATTGACATTTTATTATTATTAGAGTGACTAGTAATATATTGTCTATTATCAACAAAATACTGTCACTATAATGACACAATTATAAGTATTGTAAATTTACATTTAACCAGGTCCTCGAGGAGAACAAGGTCATCAAGGTGATCCTGGACCAATGGGTAAACAAGGTCCACAAGGTCAAGTGAAAATAACAAATAATGGAGAAAATCTACGAATGAGATATAAGAGATCAGCTGCAATACAATCTGGTAAATATGATCTATTTTAATCTTTATATATATATTATTTATTTATTGATTAAACGATTTCCTTGAAAGATAAATATTGTATACTTGATAAAACTGTCTATAGAATCAAGGGTTTACGTTTTGTAGTTTTACTTACTAACTTACTTACTTATGCCTGTTACACCTCGCGAAGGAGCATAGGTCACTCACCAGCATTCTCCATCCAACCCTGTCCCAAACAATCCTTTCCAGCTCCTTCCAGCCGTGATTCATCTTTTCCATATCTGCTTCCATTTCCCGACATAATGTGTTCTTCGGCCTTCCTCTATTCAGCTTTCCTTCAGGATTCCAAGTTAGGACTTGCCTCGTGATTCAGTTTGACGACTTGTGTAATGTATGTCCTATCCATTTACATCGTCTGTTCCTAGTTTCTTCTTCAGCTGGAAGCTGGTTTGTTCTTTCCCACAGAAGGCTGTTGCTGATAATATCCGGCCAATGTATGTTGAGTATCTTGCGTAGACAGCTATTTATACTTGCACCTTCTTGATGATGGTTATTGTAGTTCTCCAAGTTTCAACTCCGTACAGTAGAACTGCCTTGACGTTCGTGGTGGTGTAATAATACCGATATTTCGTATATTTCAATAATTATCAACGTATTCATTGTTTCATATTTATTTAGTGAAAACTGATTAAATTCTTAGTAACTGTATGAATAACCGACGACTTTTGCATAATTCATGATAATACAATCAGTTCACAGGTTTTTATTTATTAAACAATCACAGTTTATATTTAAAAAATTGTCTGATACAGCTTGGGAATTGAATGAACACATTCAAGATGAAATGATAATAAAACTGTTTAGGTATTTCTTGATGATTTTGATAAGGGCGAATGTAATCATTAAGTTAATATTTCTTGACTAGAAACTATCTAAAGTTTTAACACTTTAGTGAAAACCTTGGTGATCAGTAGTTCAAGTTTTGGATTTTTGCTAAATCATAAATGAAAGCCAGTAACTCTAAGAATTCAAACTATATCAATAGGGACTCATTTATTGCTAATAACAATAGAAGTAGGTAGTACCGAATTACAAATTATTCTTAAGTTATGGTGATCATCGAGCTGTTCGAAGGTCTCAGCCTAAAGACCCGATGTGGTCATTCTAAATGCATATTTTTGAAAAGTCTCAAACTTAACCAATACGACTTTAACAGTATTCTTTAATTTTAAATAATTTTCTTACTGGGTTCAGTTCACTATGAAATTTGTATTTAAATATAAACTTAATGGTTGAAAGCTTTATTTTTAATAAACTAACCAGAGAATTCGGAAGCTCAATATAATTTCTTGCTCAAGTAGTCAGTGGAGAAGGGGTTAGCATGTACCACATCGTGTACCAGTATCAGAATTCGGATACTGGCCGTCACAACAAATTAATCCATAGTCTAACGCTGATCAAAATATCTACCAAAAAATACTTTTATGAAACTTAAACGAAACCATCTTTTAAATGTTAAATGTACTAGCAATAATAGTACTCATTTATTTATTTAAGTACACAGTCATTATTTAAGATTTGCACACCAAACAATTCTCCCTATTAAGGAAAAACAGTTAACCAGTTGTCGTCATTTCATTTAAGAGATAGATGTGTGAGCATTGAATAATGTATTGCTTTTGTGAGGTAAATACTTATAAATACAACTGTATTTAATGATCACTTGTTGTATAATCCTTATTCATTCGTTCTAATATTTATACGGATAATTATCTGTATTTCCAGTAGCATGTTTGACAGTGATCTAATGGATTTTTGATGTAGCCTAATAAATTAACTGAAAACAATTAATTATTTATTTGAACACATAAACATTGGTACAAAGGGGCACCAAATACATATGTGCCACACAATAACAATGAGGCCAGTAGTATTTATCATTGATTTATGTGAGGGCTATGATACTGCCCGGCTGCTGAAACCAAAGCAGGTGGTTTTCTTATGGGGCCACTCCTTGAGCCTTTGACCTAAAGGTCTAATCCACAAGGCCGTGGAGCAACGTTAAGAGATGCAGTCCCATGTTAGCCGATGACAAACAGTAGGTTCATACGCCTTTTTTTCCATCAGGATCCTGGAGCCCATGTGTATCAATGGTTTGGAATCAGAATTTTCGAACTCCTCTAAGTGGGTCCTCCATATCCACCAATCAGGTTAAAGCACCGGACATTCGTCTTTCGTCCTCTCAATTTCAAAAACAACAGTAATGCCGCGAGAAGGCAGTGAGTAGGACTTCTCTGACAGTGACAATAAACGCGTGACCATGTGAAAGTATTTCGAGTAGGAGAGCTGACTCTCCTCACACTCGACTGTATCAGGGCGTTTGAGGGTATGAAAGTCAAAGATCATATATCGCCCATGTAGATAAGGTGATTTCTAATATTTTCTCAAACATATATTAGATACACATTCTTCCAAACAATCAAACTGGTCTTATTTTTATTTAATTACCTTTGTATTTATATTGTAGAAGAAACACTTGAACAAATTAATCAAAATATATTTGGACGTGTAGATGCACTGAATAAGAAAGTACGTTCAAGACGTTATGCAACTGGTTTAAGTCCACAAAATCCAGCACGAACATGTAAAGATGTCAGATTGACAAATAAATTTGCTCAGAATGATACGTAAGTTTAATTCATTTTTATTGATTGTTTGAATCTTCTCATTGCTATTTACATCGAGTAGTTCCAAACTATTCGTCGGAAAAGTTCATATGGTCCACACAAAAAAACACTTAGACACATTTAATCCTATCAGCATTAAGTAGAAACATCCAGAATGTAGCAATTCATGTTTCTAATTAAATATTTACATATACCCTTACAATATTTAGTATGGTGCCAGAAATTTTGAGAACCTTAAGGTCAAGTGTAACTCCATAAATATCCCCGTTTTTCTGCACACAAAGTAACCGTCAAGTAAAGCGTTCTTGTCGCATTTTGTGCATTTTCTCTTATGTTCAAGTTGCCACGTAGATTTAGCTTGGGGTTATTAGAAATAGATAGGAATTCGGATTGAGCGTTCATTAAACAGACTTATCACTGATAAGTTGACTACACAACAGGTTTTAAAATTTAATTAGGTGATATTTAACTTCATATTGTCTTATTCTATATGGTAAGATAAAAGATAATATCAAATTACACTTGATTAATCCAAAGTATATTTAAATTTCATTTCGTTTTTGTACTGTCTTTTTCAAATCTTCCGATTGATGTTTAGGACTGCAATTGATCAGGACTCAGTAGTTAAATGGATAACGCGATGGCGTTTGAAGTGAAAGGTACTCGATACCAGTTCCGGAGTGAACATCATCTCTGGAATGCTGGTATATCCAGCTGACGAGTCCCAAATAGAACGAAACGTGCAATCCAGATTTCACTACTAGTCAATATACTTTTCTGCTTATGATTAAATTTATTCTAGCAATAATGATTAATTTTACATTTTGATATTTTCTAGTTAGTTTATTAACGGGAGATCTACTTCATGGTTACTTCAGAGTTGAGCTATAAATGGCGAACTATACTTCTGTCTGTCACAATAACGGGAATGATTATAAGTAGTCTCATTATTAATACTAATCCTAAACGAATTAGTTCGATAAAAATGCCTGATACACATAGAAGAGTTTGAATAAATAATGAACGAAGGAAGAATGCATTATGTTTATGGAACCTAGCAGTGTGCACTGGCAATATCAATCAGAAGAGAATCTAGAAATGTGGAATTTTTTACTTAACAATTTTTACAAAAGTCAATGTTCATTGAAACCATCCGCTCCTTTGTGTTTTCTTCTGGAGTTATTATATTAATCATGACTGGTGGAGTCCAGCCATACTGGACGTAACGTTTATTGCTTACTGCGTAATCTAATAACCAAGGGATAGATGGTGTATATGTTAGCGAGTGGTTACTGCTAAGAAGCATATACGTAAATTAAATGGCTCTCTAGTGCTCCCTTGATTTAAGTACTTGGGCAGCACATGTCACATCATAATGAAAACGGACTTATAATTGAGAATTCTCCGTAAACGCATGTCTTTCTACTATCATATAATGATAGTTACTGTCGCGAACTTTAAAACTCAAATACTCAGTCTTATTCTAGTTATTTTCTTTTAATTTACCAGTTATTGGATCGATCCAAATGAAGGGTCAAACAAAGATGCAATTAGAGCGAAGTGTACATTTTTTGATGATGGCACTGTTGAGACATGTGTTGATTCAAGTATGGATCAAGTAAGTGAATGTTACTAGTAATCTTAATGATTTTATTAAAGGTGAATAAATGTTTATGTTAAGCGGAGATTTTTGTGCGTAAAACTTAATTTTAATGTCGTGTCACTATAAATAAACTAAGTGCAAATCCCAGCTACTAGATAGAAAGGAAGGCGCTCAGTAGATTTAGTTCATGTGCCTTCTCCACTGAGCGCCATCTCTCTTTGTTCTCATTCCTTCGCTTCCTACGCTTCGTCCCTCTTATTGTCTATCCAGACCAATAAGTGTACAAAATATACGTATTCAAATATTCATTCTCGTATTTAACATATTTAATTCCATTATCCACCAACGCGATTTAATCCAATAATTATATACGAAGACTAGTGATATGTATATTTCAATAATATTCATACGATCTGGAGTCAGATTCAGGTTCACAAAAGTGGTGAGTCCGACGTGATCAATAACCTTCTGTACTCAGGTCACAAAAATCTTTTAATCCTTTCATATCAGATCCATTGTTCTAATCTGAATGATAATGTTATTTGAATCATTTCCATGAAGAACTGCAGGTTTTTCAATAATTTAATGTGCGTAGAATGTCTGATATCATATGTTTCGTTATAATTAGTAAGATATGTTTAATTCTTTAAAGGTGAAGACAACATTCACAATATCAACTAGAGAATGAATCTTCATGGAAGTTATATATGGTTAGTAATGATCTGTGACAATGAACAATAGGGACTTAATCGGTCTCATTAATGTTTCTTTTTAATTAAATGTCATTTGGTAAGAATAGTTATTAGATTTCCGACGCTTAGATTTTACTAGCTAGAATGATGTAAAACGTTGAATGATCGCATTTATTATTGATGTATATGAATAGAGAATGCACACTCATTCGAATGGAAGTATGTCAAACTGAAGCCTATTTTGATTTAAAGTTCATGAGAAGTTTAAGATTGAAAATTTTTTCGTGATACGAACAAAAGTCGTAAACTTTACAACTTCGATTTTCTAAATTTCAATATTGTCATGAAACTTATTGAATATCTGCTAATTAAGTGAATGTTTTACAGCTAATATTGTCATCAGTAGAATTTATGTTATAATCTTATTGACTTAGTGACTTACGCCTGTTAATCCCAGTAGAGCCTGGAGCCCTCTTGGGACTACTGCCGGTCCCAAGTCCGGATAAAGGAGAAAGGTTGAGCATGGGGTTAGCGACCCCATCCCGTAGAAAACAAACTCGCCAAAGAAACGCTAACCAGAAAAAACTAATTTAGACCGTCTAAACTCTGCCCTGGAAGTTAGAAGGTCTTCATTTAGAAGATTTATGTAATAATCTAACTGGATATATTTCTAAATAAATAGTTATATTACTTTGTCATTGTGATAATTCTGAAATTTATTTTGATATTAGGGAATACTAGTTACATATCTGAAACCATTACCAAGTGATGGTGAGTGGCAAAGTCAACTTCGAGTGATGAATTCTACAACACCATTAGATGTAAGTTATATAAATGAATTTTAAACTGATTTATGATTCTAATATGTTTAAATGAATCACTGAGACATATTGAATGAAAGTCTGCTTGGACAGTTCACTAGAAATATCTATAAGATTAATGGTAATCACTTGGATGAAATCGCTCAAATTATAAATAAATCGAGTATTGAGATGGTGGAGAAAATTTGTGGCTCAGGTGGATGATTTTGTTCTCTAACTATCCAGCTCAGAGAACAAACCTTCATCAAAATTGAGTATTATTGTTAAAATTAATAAATGTTGGCAGTAATTACTTACATATGCACTTCTAAGCTAATCTCTAGACTGTCAAATACAAAGTCATAGTTTAATCAAAGTCAGAACAAGTAAGCTATTTAATTTGATAAACTGTTTCGGAAACGTAAATTAACATCGTTAGTATACAAAAAAACAGATTAAGACATTCCACTAAACAAGACAAAAGAGCGGTATAAATAACACAGAAAATAACAAGTGGAGGACAGAAAAAATCAATCAACAAAACTCAATATCGATTGTGACAAACATGATGGATTATGATTATTGAATAAACAAGGTATAGTCATACATGGCCAAAGAGAGTCAATATGGTAATGGGTTCGTTTGTCGATCATACCTTACAGTAAATTCAGTAATCAAAAATTTCTATCGTGTAATATCCGCAACTTCGTTTCTTGTACTTCTGTACGTATGTCTGCAGATGTGTCATTTCGTAAACTTATTGTTACATGTCAAAATTATTGGTGACGTTTGGAGTTTGTTTTGTCAACGAGAAGCCTATCTACAATACTTTTAATAATAAGATTAATCTTAGTCTTCGTTTAAACGTCGTGCTCAATAATTACATTGCAATGATACGAACAAAGACTTATAGCTTAGTTGGATAGTTTCATTATGCTGTCTTCTTCAAGTGATATAGATTTAACCAGAGAAACAAGCAAACTGATTTTGTTGTCCGGAAGGATAATAAAAGCTTTAAAATTAAATCATCTAGCTCAGGGTATAGTGTATGCTATTTATGTCGACAGATATAAGTAGTATGTAACACCGACTGAAAGTGGAAAACCTGGTAGCAAAAGGCTAAGAAGATCGAGGTGAAGAGAAAAGAAGGGTAAATAAAAAGAAATTGTGAAGTAGGAGAATCATACAGAATATGAAGGACAAATGACGGAAGTTTGCAAATGAAGTATTCAGTGTATGATTCTTATATTTTGTCGAGAGATTTTGTAATTTCGCATTCAAACAGAAATCGGTATTCCATACCTGTGTTCTCGTTCATTACAAGGGGACAAAGAACTACTAATTAGTTTTGTAAGCACTCAAGCAATTTAGCATGAATTCAACTGGAATTGTTGTAGTCTTGTACTTTCTGTTGGTATCAACTTCCATTTCACTGATTAATTAATCTCAACCTCACAAATTGATCATGTCAATTTTTTATTAGCTTGGCATCATTTTATTTTTACGAATTTTGTCACGTAGACACGATTAGAAGTTCATTTGTTGATATGATGACCTGGAACTAGATTGGTACATCAGTGTTGCTACTTGGAATAAATGCTGATTACTCCTAATGGCACGACTATTTATTATAACTGCAAATCAAATGATACCTGCCACTTAATGCAAGAGAACAGGACTGATACGCCAACGTAAAGGAGAATCTAAAGCTGTAGAAGAATAATTTATTCACCAGTCACTAAAAGACATTCACACTAATAATAATCAAGTCGAATGCTAGTGATTTTAGATACACATAATTCAGAGATCCATTAATATAGGCAGACGATGAAACATTTGCCTATTCAACTTAAGCTTAATTCAACATTTATGGTAAGACAGGAAATGAAAACAAAAATCCTATGACGAAATAGAGTGAGTGATAATTAAACATAGGCATAAATACGCTCATACAAAACACAATCAAGGTTACAAATGAACAGTGACAAGGTCATAAAGTGACCTGTTCTAGATTGATAAATTAGAATTAGCTGATAAGACACATCTCTAGTCATGGGAAGAAAACGTAATGCCTGAATGTTATAAGTAATGACTTGACAATTATCAATGTAACTGAATGTGATTGATTTGTTTTCATCTAGTTTCTAACTTGAAACATAAAAAAAGGGTTTCTTTTACATCATTATCCTCTAATTTGATTGAAATATATGATCAGTTAAGGGGTTGTGGAGATTGTTAAGTTTTTGAATGAGATGATGAACCGATTGATGATAGACCACCATTGAAAACCTGGAAGCACTGGACGGCCGTTTCGTCCCATTGTGGGACTCCTCAGCGGTGCGCATCCACGATCCCGCTCGCGCGGAAAAGTTTTGAATATTTGATTAAAATGTTAGTTCTAGTCAGTATAGAACTTGAGATCAATGTGCACCAGTCCAAGTTTTTATAACATATTAGGATGATGAGGTGAATTTAGTTAGACTGATAGTACTATCAATGATGATTAAAAATGTCTAAACATTAAGAATGTAGTTCTACAATAAAAATGATAAGAAAGCCAATATGAATGACTATTGAAGCCTAATATCTAAGTATAGGTAAACAGTGAATTCGTCTGAATCACTGTAATTGACTCTGATTTACATTACTGAATGTCTCTAACCACCGACTATAGTCTTTATATGGTCACCAATCACGTAGTTTAAACCTATAAATACTGCTCAGTTCAACAGTTATTGGTTTAGTGGACTAATGTCTCGTCTTGCTTTATTCGCTCCTAACTTTTTTCTAATTCACTGTTATACAAACCAGCATTGAATGTCAAATTATTTGGTGTTTTGGGCATAATATGTGTTATATGTTTTTCAGCCTCTTCAGTTGACCTATAGTCTCATCAACCGATATACCATTTTTATTTCCTTATTCCCGACTCTATTATTACACCAAGTACAAACATTGCGTAAACACCTATGGTCGGACTAATTTCTGATCACTAACAGTCCTTTCGTTTTTTTAGACGAACTAAATCTCGATTTTGTTCATAGTAATTATCAGCCAGTCAGCTACAACTTAGGACCAGTCACATATCTACATCGATCCAAGTTGCCATACCTCATTAGCAAAACAAGATGAACACTGGATTCATAGAAGTAGTTAATTCAGTGGCAGTAATATATAAAAGAAAGGTTGCATATAAGGACATAGTACAGGAAGAAAGAATTAGTTCGTAGAAAGTAAGGTATGAAGCGATTTTAATCTTATAGTTTATGGGAAGACAAAGAGGGTATACACCTACACCATTGTGATCGATTCTGAGCCATGTCACCAAGAGTCTCCAACCATTGGTTACGATAATCACGCGAACCCAAACCAAGTAGTCTGCATCTACCAATATGGTTAAGACTAGAAGTTAGTGACTTCAACGACTGATGCCACGTTTTGGTTTGGCCGCCCCTAACTTTCTTCCAACCATCCCCAACACTAGTCAGCATTACGTGTCGTGGTAATTATATTTTATAGTAATTCTAAATATAAACCTAATCCAATTTTTTTAAAGTTCTTACACTATGTGTATCGTTTACGATATTCAACACCAAACTAACGAGAACACTTTTTCTTTCCACTATTTAGTTACATAATTATGGAAGTCATTCACAAGTTAATATGTTACGTATTCAACATAGATATGCATCACAGGAACTCGAATTTTTATGTGACGGTACAGAAATCTATGGTTCATGGAATTCACGTACAAGTCAATCAGATTTTAATAAAGCAACAGCTCTTCTAGCACATAATGAACGTATGCTTGATTTAACTTCAGGTGAAAGATTAGGACCAGGAAAATATCATATGGATAAGCGTAATTATCGAAATAATTTAGATCGTGTTGATACAAGTATTATTGTAGAATATGATGGATGTCAGGTTAGTTAATCAATCATGAACATTTTTCTAACTATAGTAATCATAATGAATGGTAAAAGTTAGATACGTTTCATGGCCATATGAAATATTGAGATGGTGGAGAAGATTTGTAGCTCAGGTGGATGATTTTGGTGAAGTTTTGTTCTCTGAGCTGGATGGTTTGGTCGTGGAGCTTTCATCGTTCGGAAGATGAGTCGATATTCATTCCAGATAAAACTCATGTAACAAACAATTAAAAAGTTGCACTGACCATACGAAAATCCATCTTATACAACGAACTCAAGATAATTCAAAGGGAACAAATAGAACTAATAAATAACTAAATCGAATATTTAGAATAAAATTAATAACAACGATAGAAACAACTCATTCGCAACATTTTTGAATGATTTCTTCAGAGAATTTGTCGATGATAATTTAGTAATATAGAAATGGCGACCAGAAAAGGACAACACTTGTAGCCTTTATCTGGGCTACATGGCATTAAATCCTATTTTCTTAGATCAGTCTAATATCAACTGTGATCTACGTGTATATCTTAGACTATCTGGTTTCGATGTATCAAGACTATCAAGGTTCTCACAAGTTTGTGACAAAATCTGTTTACAGTCATGCTGTAATGGATCAAATAAACATAAATTTTAACAATGTCCTGATATTTCGTATAAGGTCATTTAACATTATAAAAACATAAGTTTATTGTTAATAGATAATGAAAATAATTGGATTAGTCGAGGCTGGAAAGACCCAGTGACGATGATGCAGAAAATCTAACTTGCAACTTGCAACACATAAGAGGTCAGGTTCACTGGTAGTTGGTCCAAAAACCGTACTCAACTTTTTACAACATAATTTATATGACAATACATTAACTGAAGAAGTTGGATATTCTGACCCTAGAAAATGTATATACCACAATTCAAATATAATATTTTAAGTTTTAGATTGAGATCATGAACCGGTCGATGTTAGACCACCTTTAGAAACCTGAAAGCAATGGACGGCCGTTTCGTCCCATTGTGGGACTCCTCAGCAGCGCGCATCCACGATCCCGCTCGCGGAATTCAAACCCAGGGCCTTCGGTCTCACGAGCGAACACTTAACCTACTGGACCACTGAGCCGGCACCCAATGGTGATAGTGTCTAACATCTAATAGTTTAATAAAGAATAGAATTTGATTTCAATGAGAATGAGCCATTATTACCTTCAAAATAAATAACTTTTATTTACATTTTCTTTATATCTCTCTTTCTCTCCTATTTTTTTTCTCTCTAGTACTTGACAAAAGGTGCAGCTACTAAGTTATTGATTGAAACAAGAGATTTAGAAGTATTGCCAATTATTGATTTTAAAGTACGTAATTTCGATAAACAAGGAACATGTTCATTAAGTGTAAATGTCGGCGCTGTATGCTATCGTACATAGAAACAAACTACTAACAAAATCATCATAATCAAAATAATGGAACAGAGAAAAAAACAGAGAAATTTCCGGAAAATGAAAAAGAAACTATATTGAATTGAATACATTCATATATTCAATAATTAGTCAATTACTATTCATTATTGTTTTGCTTTTGTTTGTATGAATAATCTTTCAATTTCAAATTAATTTAATCCAAGTTGTTTTAATGTGTGCTACAATTAATAAAATTGTACAATGTTCGAATGAAAACAAATAAAAAGTTAGATAAATTAAACCAGTTAAACATTTTTATATCATATTACATCATAAGCATAGTTTTAAACAGATAACAAAATTTCAATAGTTAAGATTATGAGTCAATTGAAGCAAGACCACCATGGAAGACCTGGAAGCAATGGAAAGCTATTTCGTCCAATTGTATGACTCCTCAGCAGTGCGCAGCCACGACCCCGCCTAACGGGATTCAAACCCGGGACCTATCAGTCTCGCGCGCGAGCACTTAAACACTAAACCACTGAGCCGGCATCCAACGGTGGTGGTTAGGCGCCTAGCGCGAGACTGACAGGTCCCGGGTTTGAATCCCGTTGAGCGGGGTCGTGGCTGCGCACTGCTGAGGAGTCATACAATGGGACGAAACAACTGTCCATTGCTTCCAGCTTTTCCATGGTGTTCTGGCTTCAATTGATTCATGATCTCAACTATTGAAGTAACAAAATTACGATTTCGTTATCATAGATTACTAGCCATTTTGAACAAAATAAAAAAATGACACAAGTGCATTTCTATTGTTATTATTGTTGTTGTTAGAGTGTAGTCAATGAGAACATCAATGGAAGACAACCGAATGTATCCATATAAGGAATCATAGTATTTCTTGGTAAAATATGAGAACTACACAGCAAATACTTCATTTACAAATTCTTCATTAGTTGTCTCAAATTTTGTTTGTTTCTACATCAATCGTTCTCCTTCCTTCGATCTTCTTAGCCTTCTGTCCCTAAGCATTTCGCTTTCGACTGGTGATATATACTATTTATATTTGCTGACACCAGTACCACATACCACACTTTTATTAAAAATGAGTTTGGTTAACTGATGAAAATATTGATTTATTACACCATACAACAGTAATAATCATCAATAACAAGATCGTTTTAATCAGACAAGAATAATGTATCCAGCTGGATTTTGCTTGCATTACAATTATACGTTTATAGGTACCAAAAGGATCTTAATATTCATATTTTTTTAAATAAAGCAAGAACAAACATTGGTGCAGAATAATAAATGAATCCATTTTATTTCATTAGGTTCTCATCAGCTGCTTACAACCTAAATTATTTGAAAATTCAACATTATTACAGATATTGACATATTTATACATAAGAGGGTGATTAAGGATCAATACATGTGTATGATGTAGCAAGCAAAGATTCCGATAGAGTTAATGAGCTCATAAAATGTTTGATTCGAATAAATAAATAAAGTTTGAGAGGGAAAGTTCCAGAGTATTGAATTAGTGATTAGAACTCATGAAAATAGATTAATGGTAATAAAGAAAATATGAATTGAAATCAATCATTTATGTATGATGTAATTTAAACTTCAGAAAGAGTTGCAATAATGACGTAATAAATAAATAAATAAATAGGAGCAAATTAATAGAAAGAGTGGGGGTTATTGTTACCAGGGTAAAGAAAGATTTATTACTGTCTCTTTTTGTATACATAGATCTGGTTTTAAACGTTTGATTGCCAACGCTTCAGCGAATTTCAAAAGGTTCGAGTTTGATTGTTGTTGTTGTTGTCCTAATGAACAAAACAGATTATGTTTTTAAGATGAAGTCTATCTTGAATGACCATATGAGATTCAAGTTAGAGAAAAGTAACAAAGACTTAACTGATTCCATTGAGAAAAGAATCACCAAAGTACTCAGAGATCTTCTGAAAAAGATGATCGATAACTCTACTTACAATAATCTACGACCTCGTGGGTCTCGTTTGCCCCACATGTATGGATTACCGAAAATACATAAACAAGGTTATCCTCTTAGACCTATTTTGTCAATGATCAATTCACCATACCACAAAGTTGCACGATGGTTGGCAGATAAGTTAGAACCAGTGCGTCAACGACTAGCCACCTATACACTAAAGGATTCATTTGTATTTGCTGACAGCATGAATCACATAAATATTGCCGGTAAGTTTATGGTTTCTTTTGATGTAACATCTTTGTTTACAAAAATACCACTTCTTGAGACCATAGACATAATTTGTCAACATTCTGACATCCTACCACTACCAGTACCAGAATTCAAACGACTATTACTCATTTGTACAAAAGATGTTCAGTTCCAGTTCAACGATATCATATACAAACAAACCGATGATGTAGCGATGGGAAGTCCGTTAGGTCCTGTCCTAGCAGATATTTTCATGGCTAACCTCGAAAGAACCAAACTCAAACGAGCGATTGATGAAATGACGTATTATTCGAGATATGTTGATGATACCTTCATCGTATGTAATAATAAACAACATGCAATAAATCTGCTCGAGTTTTTCAACGAAGCACATCCGAATATCCATTTCACTATGGAACATGAAAAAGAAAACAAGTTCCATTTTCTCGATATCGCGATGAAAAGAAGAAAAGATAGTACAGTTCAACGTTCAGTTTATAAGAAAGACACATGGAATGGTAGTTATCTTAATTTCAATAGCTTTTGTCCAATCAGTTACAAAAAGGCACTGGTCAAAACACTGTTTTACAGAACAGAAAGAATATGTACTTCCGATACACTAGAAGAGGAAGTTATGAATGTTAAAAAATGTTTAAAGAATAACGGATACCCGCTGAAATTTATTGAGAAATACGGCAAATGTGAAGTTAAAAAACCGAAAGAAATTACAGCAAATAAAAAGCCTATTTTTATTAAACTTCAATTCAAAGGTGACGATGTCACAGGATCAATCAATATGAGATTAAAAACTGCACTGACAAGAACTTATCCTGCAGCGAAATTGATTGTCCTGTCCAAAACAACATGCTCTTTGACACAATCAAAGGTCGACAGGTATCCCTTTCATGTTACCACCAACTGTGTATACAAATTTACATGTACCTGCCAAAGCAGTTACATTGGTAGAACAGAAAGGAGAGCCTACGTCCGATTCAAAGAACATATAACGAAAAGTTTAAGGTTAAATGGATTGAACGCATTCAACAGTGCTATCGCAAGACATCTCCTTGATACAGGACATAAAGCTGATATACTGAAGTCCTTCAAGGTGATTAACAAACAATCAAACTCGAACCTTTTGAAATTCGCTGAAGCGTTGGCAATCAAACGTTTAAAACCAGATCTATGTATACAAAAAGAGACAGTAATAAATCTTTCTTTACCCTGGTAACAATAACCCCCACTCTTTCTATTAATTTGCTCCTATTTATTTATTTATTACGTCATTATTGCAACTCTTTCTGAAGTTTAAATTACATCATACATAAATGATTGATTTCAATTCATATTTTCTTTATTACCATTAATCTATTTTCATGAGTTCTAATCACTATTACAATGTTCTGGAACTTTCCCTCTCAAACTTTATTTATTTATTCGAATCAAACATTTTATGAGCTCATTAACTCTATCGGAATCTTTGCTTGCTACATCATACACATGTATTGATCCTTAATCACCCTCTTATGTATAAATATGTCAATATCTGTAATAATGTTGAATTTTAAATAATTTAGGTTGTAAGCAGCTGATGAGAACCTAACGAAATAAAATGAATTCATATTATTCTGCACCAATCTTTGTTCTTGCTCTATTTAAGATAATAAAGGGAACTATGTGTATGAAAATTCATATTTTTGATAAAATTAATGACTTAACATCAGGGTTTACCAATCATAACATCTATCCTGCTTATCTGTTCATGATATATTATAACACACTGTTTGTAGAAGGTAACTTTACAACTGCAGTTACTGTCTTTTGAGAATAATTTAAGGCTATCAATAACTATTTTTAATTAACTTAGCCCAGCAATTCACTTAATATCAACTTTAGTTTCACATATCTGCAAAATGTCATTAGCAAACTAAGATTTTTGTGCCTTTGATGATCGAATTCAACTACTAATCCTAATTTTTGGTGCCCAACGAACGAAATATTATAAAGACAGTAAACTGAGATTGTGTAGAATAACGTATTACCGATAGGTAATTAATGTTATTTATAACGTATGCATACCATAAGGATACGAAAATCTGGACTAAGAACTTGATTAGAGAAGTAAATCATTTACTCACATTAACACACTCACATTATCATTACAATTATTTTGTGTGACCAATCTCAATCTTATAAAAATTTAGGCATAAGGTGTACATACGCTTAGATTCGTTTCTTCACTGCCTAGGATTTTTCACGAAATATATACTATTTTCAATCATGTATGTAATACAGTAATGAGTTGAATTTTTGTCGTCAGCGAACCACTTGATCGATTGTTGTATGCTCAAATTTATGGTTTAGCATTTCTCGTTCACTACAAAATGACCAAAGACAACCATTGCAAATGATTTAATTTTAGCTAGCCTGAGTCTAAAATGTGATCATTTTTTGTAAATTGAAATCTATTTTTATCTGTAAGGAAAATTGTGGTTGAAAAAAACCATGAAAGATTTCATTAAGGATTGAGTATTCTATTTCTTCTCGACTATTAATTATAACAAATCGTAGTTAATAGAAAAGGGTAGTCTTATCACAGCTTAATATGCAACTGTCTAAAGTTAAGATTATTATTCGTAAAAACCAGATATTACATTAAAACACCAAGCTTATCACATCTAAAATCACTTGAGTCAATCTTAGATCTCATCACGATTACAATAATTGTAATTATTTTTATGCTACTTATAATATCTGAGTAGTATGAGTAGTAAGTCGAAATAAACAGTTAACGTTTCACTACATATTTTGATGTCCATGTTTTTATGTTAGAATATTTTTACAATAAATAATCGTAACAACAATTGTAAACGTGAGAGTAATTCTTGACCTTTATGTACTCATTGGCTTTCCATCTGCCTATCTTTTTTGCATTTCTGTCATTCATGACTTGATTGCTTTCTTTTCTACTTTATTTAGTGCTCAAATGATAAATTTGTAATAATAGATTTTATTAATATGTATACCATATTGTACAGGTATATAATGTATGTATGAATGTAAGCAAGACAGTAGAAGTACTTTAAATTTTCACATAATCTTGGACAAATTGATCATTTCTTCTTTTTGCCTTTACCACTTTTTTTTCCACTCTTCTTTCCACTTTTCTTCGTTCCACCTTTCTTTTCATTCGCCTTAGCTTGTTTATCAATTTCTCGTTGTATTGTAAATTGGGGAATTAAAGGAACTGTACGTGTTTGTATTAAATGTTCAATTTTGGGTAGATCGCCGTTTGCAGCGTCCAATAAAACCTGTAAATAGTTGTATTATTAATAATAATGGGAGAGGAATTAAATGTAATATATAAAGAAAATCTCTTTTAAAATTGTTGAAAATAATGCGATAACTTTGATGATGATTTCATATATATCATATTTATAGCTTAAAATAGATATTTTCCATGATAACCCTTGTATGAGATGCCGAAATAAATGAGGATCTAAACTTATTCAAGAATAATAATTTTCAAAAGAATCAGTTATCAGTTAGTAAGAACCTTTATTTTTTAATACATCCGTATAATACTGATCGAAAAAGCAACTAGATGTTTAGTCGTTAAGCACTAACTCTACGGTTAGAGTGTTCCCAAATTATCCTTGTATAACTTAACGGGTCCTGAAATCGCTTGGAAGCATTTTATTCAGTTGGGACTGAATAGAAATTTCTTTGAAATATCTAAAAGGATAACGAATCATGAGTCAACTCCTTATTGCTAATATTTAATATTCTTCTGAAACTTCCTAGATGATCAAGGTCACATTGGATAATCAAAATAAGCACGAGTACAGCACCATTTTTGCGTTTTCTTCCCATTCTTTTGTGTCTAGACTGTTATGTAGATTTAGAATGAGATTATTAGAAGCGGCCAGAAAATCAGATCGAGTACTCAATTAGCAGACTAAATCATCTATTTATGTCCCTTTAAACACTATTTAAATGTTGCCATATAATGGAATGTTTTCCGGGGTCAAAAATCTCCAATGTTAATTTTTTCTCAAGGATAGATTTTGAGTCTGAAAAACAGTTTGAATAGTTCAATATATTTGTCTTTTAAATCTTGAAGTTGGAACTCCTTTATTCTATGACTAAACTTTAGTGATTCCAATGAAATGTATTTGTACTTGTTAAAGTGTGACAAATCGTACTATTCTAGCTACCTTTGATTAGTCTTTATAATATCATGATCAATATATTTGAGAAAGCTAGACTCAAATTTGTAATAATTTAAGTTACATAGATTGCGTGATAACCAGACAGAAACAATGATTATAAATCCTAATGAATTATAAATTAACCATTTTGATAATATTCGATGTCCCAACACTGCCTATTCATTGGAGGACTGTTTATTTTTACTTGAATCAATTTAAAACTATTGATTTTGAACAATAGTTCAGTTGTATCAGTTATTCACGTTATTGTTGTGTATAACAACGAAACCTGTTAGAGCGACTGATTTAGTACAAATCTATGTTCGGAATGGGTTTTGTGGAGATTTTTAGAAATTTCACAGGTTGAAATCACGAGTCAATTGAAGCTAGACCACCATGGAAAACCTGGAAGTACTGGACGGCGTGCGAAACCAGTAGGTCCTGACTTCGAATCCCGTGAGATGCGCGACCGTGCATGCCCACTACTGAGGAGTCCCATACTAGAACGAAACGGCCGTCCAGTGCTTCCAGGTTTTCCATAGTGGTCTAACTTCAATTGACTCATGATTTCAATCAGTGAAATCTATATTCATCATTGAGTTATATTGTACTTCATTCGTGATATTTATACCTGACGATAAATCGATCAGAATCATGTGAAACCTCCGGGTGTAAAAACTATACTTTACAAAATACGAAGAGATTAAACCGAAACGTTTTACTGTACCTATCAACATTAGTAAACAACTTCAAAAATATGCACTTATTAATATTATAATAAATAGTTGGAAGATTATATTCGCTTGATGTTGCTTGCTTGTATCTTCCCATTGTTATTTAGGACTGTAATTGATCAGTTTGTTGTTGGCATATGTGCATCCTGTGCAGACTGCCTCGATATTGCCTGAAATCCATCTTTGCTTATAAAGCTTGCGGCTTCAGGCAATATCGAGGCAGTCTGCACAGGATGTACATATGCCAACAACAGACTGATCAATTGCAGTCCTAAATAGCAATGGGAAGATACAGGTAAACAACACCAAGTGGATATAACTTCACCCCATTGCACAAGTAGGTAGTTAATAGGACTCAGTAGCTAAGTGAATAACGCGATGCCGTTTGAAGCAAACGGTACTGGGTTCTAGTCTCAGAGTGGACATCAACTCTGAGATGTGAGTATATCCAGCTGACGCGTCCCAAGTAGGACGAAACGCGCGTCCTGAATTCCACTGCTAGTCACTATCCATCTTTGTTGATAAAATTAGAAGATTGTTTAACAAATCAGGACTGATGAGATAAATCTGGGTCAGGAGTGTATCTGATTGAATTAGGGCGAAAAGTGACAGTAAGTTATGCGAAATAATAAGAGAGTAATCCTTGAATTGTAAACTAGTTGACAAATGTTTGTGTTTCGTCTGAATTTCTTGATTACAGAATGTCGTTTAGCAGTGCTAAAGCTGTGTAATTAGAAATCAAAGATAACCGGTAAATCATTTTTAATTGCTATTTAAGACGACAAGCTATCTAAATGATATTAGTTGTAGAAATCACAAGTAAGCAACAACTACGGCTTTTAGGTTCTTTATCATCTTTAAAACATATAACCATAATTATTTAAGCTCATGTCATAATTAGTAGTATGGTCGTAAAAAGGATAAGGATAAAGTGTGAAATGGTTTGCAGAAATCTCTACAACAGACTAGTAACCCACCTTCTTGACTCATAAGCTTAAGGCATGCTCTTCAAAATAAAAAAGTGATAAGTAAAGCTAAATAAACAAATGTTTTGCGATTGAATATCGTTAAGGAACTTGGACATATCTAATCCATGTTTTTGGTTGAGAAATTTTATGAAAAATATCCAATCATTGACATTTTCCAACCCAAAGCATACTCCATTAGTAAAGAATGAGAAATTAGGGAGCGTCATCTTCAAAATGACCAAGTTAGTATACTAAACAAGCTATTCTGTTAAAAGTAGCCGGTATTAACTAGAGTTGAATTTATAGTCAAATCAATAAAAATGAACAGTCAACACTCAAGAAAGTAATGAATATAACAACTCTTCTTCAGCATAACTTACTTTCCAAGTTTCGGAATTGTAAATTGCTAAGTCGATTGGTTTGACACCACTAATACATTGATGATTAATATCTGCCCCAGACATAAGTAGGAATTTCACTACTCTTGTATGATTTCCTGTAAAATAAATTTAATAGTATGTTGTAAATCCAATACAACTGTCCTACCTTTAGCGGCCATATGTAATGGTGTAGTTCCATTTGAATCCCATATATTTACATTCGCTTTATTAGCGACAAGTAGTTTCACTGATTCATAACTTCCATCTGTTATTTAATTTGAGATATATTTTTTGAAGGGAAAAATAAATCAAGAATTACGAAATGTTAAACATGTTTACTTGCGGCTGCATAGTGTAATGCTGTTTTACCAAAACCATCAATAAAGTTTATATTCACTCCATTTGCAATACATTTGCTTACAGCTTTTATATCAGCATGACGTGCTGCTTTACATAAATTTAATTCATTTGGAAAACCCCATGGAATAAATGGATCGAATGGTTTTTGTTCTGATACTGATTCGGCGGTTTCTGTCATGTTTTCATGGTTAAAACAAATACACAAATTGCATGGCGTTATCTAAAGAACATGAGGAAATAATTCAGTTATGAGGATCGAATGACTATTATTATTATTATTCATATGAATGACCAAATACTAATCAGGTAGTTTGTAAAGATCCGATGAACAATTATAAAACAGTTTCTTTTTCAAGGCCTATAAACCGGTAATAGCCAGTAGACATTGTTAAACTGTATTATCATGCTAACTTGGAAGTTCTACTAAGAAAATCTCTCATTTACGTTGTATTGTGATATGGTTCTGTTGGACTTTCAGGTGATGGTTGCATTGTTTGACCATTATACTTCATTAGAACGCGTAGTACATTAATTTCAAGTGAAGCACACAATAAGCTGACTTAGTAGTTAGTGTGTACTCTTAGGAGCCAATAGTAATCAGTTGATAAGACCCGTTACAAAGTCGATGATAAGAAATATCCCTCTAGAACTATATATTATGTTACTTAATTCATGTCCATCAACGTTATTCACATCTTTTCAAACCATAACTTAAAATAATCCTGATTTAATTATAAGCGAGAAACGTGTTTCTATCTCAGGATATATTTTACAAAAAGCAGGATATTTCAATTTTTCGATAAAATATTTCCCTTTTTAGATACTTTACTATATTCAATTTTTGTACTCCACTTTGAAATATCAAACAAAGTTGTATTATTATTACTGCACAAAATGCATGTTGTGCAGATTTATTTCTCTGTATAATGCACTCGTTAGTTTCAGAAAAACTCTATGTATATCACAATAAATAATACGTTGCTTTGGAATCCATGAATTATCACTTGAACCTCAAATAGCAATTTTGAGGTGGACAATAAGTGAGTGGTGAGCATAAAGCCTGAAATGTATTAGACTATAATGATATACTTTTGTTGGAGTTTCCAGAATTCTCTCAGTACCGGGACTCAAATTTGACTTAACAAAACGTAATAAACGATTACCCTCACATAAACGTTCAATTACAAATTAGTCAAAAACCATCTGTCGTGGAAAAATTACTAAGGTATTACATAAGCAGCGAACCAGATATGACCAAAACATAACTGAAGAATCCATAATATATAAAAATGATTGATTACTGAGGTTCATATTGTGAAGGAATATAAGTATCTTTGACTTCAACAAAAATTCCAATGCCAAATTGAAGACATGATATTTTTTTAGTGGACGGACTATTTTCAGCAGTCGTTTGGTTTAATTGTACAGACTTGAGACACCATAAATTCGTTGATTACATATACGTAAATGAATGTCAATAAAAAAGATAATATGGTCAATCAAATCAGTGCATGGAACACACTTATAATTATAAAGAATGTAATGAATCAATTTTGCGTTATTTGATTAATATAATTCAGGTTACATAAATCATTAACTATGGCCATATGAAATGGATGAAGAGTTATAAAAATAAATGTGCTCTAGTTACGGAAGATATATTGGACATGGGATGTGGTGTCGTGTAGATTCCTTGTAAACGGTTAATTAAACAAGAATTGTAATAAGACAGATACGTTTTTATAAAGATTTCAAAAGACAGATTTATTTTTAAAGAAGAATGTCACATTTACAGTTTCAGAAATCTGAACAGTGTTTTAATTTTCAGCAAAATTAATGAAATGGTCAAGTTAGTTAATGTATCACTTGTAACGCACTCGAGAAACTAGATAACAGAACCTTATTTAAATAGGTTTTTGACTGCTGGTTGTGTGATAAAGAACGTATGAACGTAGTAATATATTCACGTCACTAATGGGCAAAATTTTTAGTGGAGTAAATATACGAAATTGAAAGCGTTAGAAGTGATACAAAAGAAACTGTAATAGCCCATTAAAACCTTGAAAAGGACCGATTATTCTCTTCAACTTTATAGTGAATCTCTGCACAATGTTGCTTGTTATCACCGTTTTTTCACATCAAAGAGCAAGGTATATTTTACGGGTATCCCTGTATCTTCTATTTCGAGAAGCAGTTTGGTCCCAATAAATAAGTTGAATATTGTCAGAGAAAACATAGTAAACAATGAAAGAGTTGCTATCTGTCTTTAAAACAGGTGGAAGATTAACATCCTATCAGTTTACACGGTTAAAACGTTGTGTTTTATATTCTTTGGCAATTGAAGTTTCGCACTGGGGTGCAGTTACTAATAGGAGTTTACAACATTTCAAGATATCTTAAATTTCCGGCTAGCCCTAGTTGGTTTAGAATTGTATTTTAAGTTAAACAGTAGTTTGATCCATGCTCTGTTAAAATAAACCTAGAATTGTTTCTCAAAAGTATCACGACTTATGTTGACTGAAGTATTCTCAAAGAATTCTTGATTTGTAACATTCACTACAGTTACTAGATCTACAAACGGTTACTCGAGTTACTCAGAGATTGAAGCGTACGTAAGTTTGAGTCGTAAACAAGTGTACACGAAGCGATGTATATTTTGCTTAGAATGCTTTTTCGAAGGTGATTTGAAGAGATTGAGTGCACCATGGTGTTTAAAAGTCTGGAGTTTAGAATTCTTTTGATATTGATAACAATTTTTACTACCATTGGCACCATAAATGAAAAGTTTGACAAACAGCTGGTGAGCTGTGTTGAATACAACGATGTTTAAAAGTAATAGAATCACAAAATAAATTCAGACTAAGGCGCAAATCTAAGATATCTTAGTCTTTTAAGGCTTATGCGCGACAGATTAAAAGAACAGTGAACTGAGGATCCTCTGAAGCCAAAAAGGCTGTCCGGCTTTATAATGAGCAACTGTCATTCGTTAGTCGATTACACGACAGTAATTTAATTGGCAATAGCAAAACGCCAGTTAATCGTGATGTAAAGAAACATGGTATAGCTTGTTGGGATACTAGGTTCACATCATTTAAACCCAACAACTTAATACTCGCCAAAAAAGATCCCGAACTGATTACAGAGACAGGAGGAAACGGTAAACTTAAATTTCGTTCTTAAGTTTGTACCGTATGTCTTTCTACAGAATCATTGCCCTCGAATGATGTAAGTATATTTCTGTGTTCAGTAGTTAGTCATGAGCTTATGCTACTAGACATTAGTGACTTATCATTTAATTGTACTGCTGTCGACATAGTTAGCCAGGTTATAGTGTCCTTAATACATACGTTATCGTAAGTAAAAGTTAAATCCCTACGTTTTCTTCGCTAAGATAATAATATCTTATTTAATATTCAATTTCAGCCTACATTTAAAAAGTTGGCAATTATTTTAGAATTCCAGTGACAGAAATACTGCTTCTCACTGACAACATTGTAGCTACAGAAGTATAGGGTGTTAGTTTCGAGACACCCTTCAGTGGGTAAATCTTAGGAAAATCTTCACTACCTACTCCGGGGTTGTAAGAAAGGTTGGTAATTTGATGCGCTGTCGCATGTATTTACACCTAATTCTCTTAAGGATTTCCCCCAGAGTTTCTCCGAAGTTCGCCTTTATTTCTCCTTCTTTGATTGATTGAAATAACTTAAAAGTTAGAATCACAAGCAGTGAAAATGATAAACGTGAGCGTAATCCTCAATATTCTGTATATTTTTGACTCTGGCCTGAAAGTACTTTTTATGTCGGGGAATGTAAAAAGCAGCGTATGTGAAATTTTCTCAAATGAAAGGGAGCAAGGAAAAAGGTCGACGATCCAGAACTCACGCATAACAATGGAATCGATAGGCAGCAATTAGTAGTTACACAACAGTAAGATAAAGGTAACACGACAATAATGGAAGTGATGGATTAAGATGGTAAATGAGTTATATCTGTGTAACGCCCTGCCTTTGGTGGGTTTGAGTCTAATATAATGATACTGTGTGTGCTCGATGAGTTTGAGAGGCAGCAAGTGAAATTTTCTAGAAGAGAAAGACCAAATGCTTTTCTCTTAAGAGAAAACATGAGCCAATGACTCACTAAGCAGATAGAACTCACTTACATCTGATAGCGAAAGCAATTAATGGCAATCGGAAGTGACACGGACGATAGATTAAGACAATATGATAATCGAGACAAAAAGTTGTTGATGTAATGTTTCAAACGTGTTACATCTAGTTTATTTGCACAACCCGGTGCAGCTGTAGTCATGGTTAATTTAATCCAATATTCAATATCCACGTGAGCAGTTTGAATAAAATATTTATTTGCCTTCCATTCTCTTTTGTTGTTTCCGCATGGCTCCAGTTTCTAAAAATGCTCAACTGGCTGTTGTCTGTCGACATGAATGCACTTACTCTAATCGTTTTTGTAATTATGCGTGAGCTTTGTATATCTGAGAAGGTAAGTTTATATCCATTATATATAGAGTACTCAAAATCTCAACACTATAAGATTTGCAAAACCAGCAAATATCCCACCACTATGCAGGTGATTGGTTGGTCGCAGTCAGAAAAATAATAGAGAAAATTTGAATACTAATAGAATATGATTGTTTCATGAGACAAATAAATGAGTCAGCTAATCAGTAATGCAGACGTTACTAGTGGATTGAACTGTACGAACAAGAGAAAGATTGGAGGTGCTGAAAGGTGAAGCGAATTAACTTAATGGTATGCCGCAATGATAACTGTATATAGGTTACGACATATGAAAGTAGTCGAGGCCGGAGATATTAATCTGTAGTGGCATTGGACAATAGCCACACAATCCACAAAGCTGTGAACACGAGACTACTCAGAAAATAGATATTCAATATTTAACGTGGAGAAATACCTAACAATGGAGAAGGCGCGAACAATGAATTGAACGGACTGGAGTTGATCGGGTGGCATGGCTCGGCCATGCAGGCGTGGTCTCTGCTGAATGTTACCTTATATCTTCTATTCATATTAAATATATTGTTCTTTTTCTAGCCCAACCTTGTTCTACATCATGTATTGGTAATTGATGCGATACAGTGAGTTGGTGTAGTCGATAGTGTGACTTCCACGTAAGATCTTATAGATTAGGCAGTTATATCATGACAAATCTACAAATTTAGGATTAGGTCTATTATTAGAGCAGTACTAATATCATAGTAGACTATAATTCTACAAATCCGTTAGTGAGCAGATGTTTATCAGGCTTTGATTGCCACGGCTAGGAGGACATTCTGAGCGGGAAGAACTATTAGTGAGAAAAATTATCAGCAGTTTGGTTCTCACCTCTTGATGTGCAATTTTCCGAGGGTTGTCTCGAGGAGCCTGGGAGTGGTGTTGGTATTTGCCTCGAATTAACTCAGCGTACTTGTAACGTTGTGCACCATCTTCAGGTCATTTTTTATTCCTCTGTATCTCAGCTAAGATAATCAAGTGTCGTAGTCCATATTCGTAAGATTTGTTCTTTGGCCTCTTCGCACACTTAGTAACCTTTCTCCTACTTCGTCTGAGATATTCATATCTCTTCTGAAGGAAGGAGCGTGAAAAAATTGTGAACTACGAGGCGGGACTTTGAAAACGTTTCAAAGTAATGAAAACAATTTTGATGTGATTGTGCTAAGTTGTCATCTTATAAATTGAAAACTTGTATTTGTTTTGACTGAATCATGAATGTATTTTGAGTGAGTGCCTATGTTCTTTGTGGTCACCAGTCTTAGACTGCGCTCTGAGGAGCTAATCGAAAGAGGTTTTAATAGAGGATCTAAGCTATATGAATGTTTTTAAGACCACCAGTCAGGACTGGATTCGGAGCTTGTAGGTTCCTGGTTTGATTGATCGGCGAACTTAGTATCAACGAATTCAGTCATCTCCAGTCTAGTCGAATCTTTGCCGCTCGGTCTTTTGAGAGCTTCCACTCTCAGTTTGCATTTTTTCCTTTTTTCGTGAACATACAGAGATATTTTTGTGAGTAACTAATACATTTCGCTCAAATGACGATGAGGAAGATGGTTACTCGCGAATGAATACTCAGTGCATTATCAACGGTCATTATAACCCATTTAACGGAAAAATTGATTAATAACTGGCTGACTGTTATTGGACGCCAACACCTATTTACAGACCTGAAAAATTCTCAGTTTAACGGTTTGACAGAAAATTTCTTTCGATCTCTAATGAGAGCTATTAGATCTTTGAATCCATGTTATCCAGAAGAGCCAAAAAAGCGCATCGATTTTTTATTGCTTCAATATTGTAACGGAGAGCATTCAAGAAGTCACGACAGTCGATCTAAACTCATTAAATCTCTCATACTTCGGACTCATTTTGCAAAAAAGACATCATCAGAAGTACAGTTTTATATAGGAAATGATTATCAATCATCTACGGGGATTATAATTTATATAATGAGTAGTCAGATGGTAATAAGTCTTGATTTATACCACCATTCAGTTCAGCACATAGATTAAGTGTAGGTTCATGAAGTTAGTGTTCCCAGTTTTAATTTTGACGATTCTTGAGCTAATACTTACTCTACAAACAATTCTGAACTTCAGATAGATAGGTCCAATTTTAATTCTAATGATTTCCATGTCACTAATGACTTTAGATAATTCAGAATTCAAGACAGACGAGGAATATAAAAATCAGGTTGCTAAACAAAGTGAAATATCCGACAGAATTCCAAATAAACCCAAACTACATTATAAATATATAGACTGATAATCAACGTGTGAATTGTGTGCCGAATAATCAACACTCTTACTGTTCATTAAAAAATTTATGTAATATTTAAATTTTTAATGATAATACAGTACAACCTCATACTTTTTACTTGGAATGTGCGTTCTTGATTGTGTTTTGTTGAAGTTCTAGACTCATTGATATTAGTTCTTTTTAGTTATATTGTTTCAAATTCTAAGGTCTTTTCGCTCAACGTTTAATGCATCTGCTAGTTCTGAAACTTTCTCCTTTCACTCTAAGCTTTGATGTTCCATCTACTTCTCAACGCCATGTGAGAGCTAGTGTCAGAATCCTTCAAAGGAACTTTTCATTTATGCCGGTCTCCATTTTGTTTGTAGCAAATGTGCCTCGCTTCAACGTGATCTTAGCTAAACCACATTTGAAAACTGGAAAGCAACAGACATCTCTTTTTTCATGTTGTGGGACTTCTCGGCTATGCTCAACCACGACCTCAGCACAAGTCCAGAACCTTCAATCTCGCATGCCTATGCTCAACTTCTAAACTACTGACTTAGCACTCATCACTGTAAATACCCATCTTGAAATATTCACACACAAGACCGAAGGCACATTGAACTTATTTAAGAAACATGAGACTTACCTTTCAACTATGGGACAATCGGTCTATTAGTATGGCCTATCATGATGAGCACTAATCATTGCGTAATCTCGAAAAATATCACAATGTCGGCGAGAAACCCGTCGAAGATAACGTCGTGAACAAAACAAGGCCTAAAGTGCCAGGTTCAAGGAAAGAAAAAAGCTTAGTATGACCGTCAGAAAATGTGGAGCTGCCGAAGCACCTACTAAGGTAGTGGAATCTGACACGATAGGCGTCTGAATTTTCTGGTGGCCCCAAAGCTTTTTGGAGGTCTGCAAGTGAAGAGATGTGTTTTGACGGTTGGAGAAAATTTTGTGACGTACAGCTCTCAAGTTGCCTATCTATAATTCATGGACGAGCCAATCAGAAGCGCGTGATGAATTTCAAGGTCACGTCTCTAAGCTCAGTGCCTGATGCTCGCGTACGATCGGTTCACAGCGAATTTAGAGAAGACATTATAATTGAGCGGCCGCAATAAATGGGACTATTAAAAAGTTCCTTCATTTGTGATCGGGGTAATCAGATGACTTATGGACCTTGTGCAGACTACCATGATGATGTCTTTCGATGCAACATATGTTAGAAGAAGTGTGCTAGAATGGGATCTTTTTTCTATCAATTCAGATAGAAACTAAAGCAAATTATAATAATTGTTACGAACTGTATAACGAAAGCAACAGTAACATTGGCTGTAACAGATCTTACTGAAGCTTCGGCTGTTCAGTGGTATGAGTATTGTAGAGATATATGCGCAATAAAAATGAAAAGCCTACACAACTGGAGTGCATACAAACAAAACTGGAGCTGTGTGGTCGAGACAGAAAGAGATTTTGCGACCTCATCATGGCTCTAGAGGCCTACTATTATGGAGTTATATGGATGAGTTTTTATATCACATGCATTACAATTTCAGAACCTCTGAACCTCTTTCTAACCTTGAAAAATGTATCCACTGTATTTATTTGGTTTTGTATAATATATTTCTACTCTATGCTAACCGTTTTTTGATTGGCTAATATTTCTCAAGGTCACTTAACATTCGTTCAAAAGTCGTCCATAAATTATAGTCTCGCCCCTATCTGTCATTAAAACACTAAAGGGCATATCGAAATATGGTATGGCGGGGCGTTTGGTCGGACATCATTTAGTGGAGTACCAACAAAAACCAAACTGGTCAATATTAATTTTAAGTCATCACAAGCTATCTATTTTGCAGAATTGTCCACCTATGTGTTTTGTACTTTAAGAAACAACTAAATCAAACACGTAATTAATGGGTTTGACCGCAAATAATGTAAGGAGCAAAGTCAAATAACATCTGGGTTAGTAAGTGTTGAAAAAGCTATTGAAACGCAGACCTGGCAAGTCAATCGACTGTGACAACAAAAACGCAATTACCCTAAGTACTTGATATATGTAGACCGCCAGTAAAAATGGTTGTATCTTTCGAAATTATAAGCACCTCTCATTCGATGTGATATCATCTGATTTTGATTATTGAACTAACCATGACAACGGCATGATAACAGCAGAACAGCCCAATAAAATACATCCAAGTGTCAGTTGTTCTCGATAAATCAAACGGATATGGGACATTGAGGGGACAGTCCTGTTAATAGGACAAGCTGCACAGGCGAAAAACTTGCAGCGGATAGTTCCCACAGAAATAGCCAACTTTTTTATAACATTAATCAATTTGTAACCTTATAAACAGATGTTCCTGTAGAAGAGTAACAATTTTAATGAGAATTTTCAATTTCTTACTTTAATCAATGCACGATATTGTGTGATCGTTTTCTATTACTTGCAGTGGATAACTGTTACACACTCGACATAATTGAACTTCATTGATCAAAAAGATACGATATTTAGACTGGATTTA